AGAAAAATACCTAATGGTCTCGCTCATAGTAGGCTGTGGGTTTCTTCAACCTTATTTCATCTGTCCATACTCTTACCTGCTTATGCCTTACAGATTAAGGTCTCTGACTCTTCATGCTCCCCCCTTCAGTTCTTCTTGCCATTATGGACTTGCATCTTTTTTTTCCAACTGAAATTTATTATACAGAAGAGCATATGCAATATAAACTTACACTCTAACAGACAGCTTATCTTCAAGGAATGCAATGCTACTGTGCTGAGCATTGAGGACTCTCATTGTGGGCTCCCCTTTGGACTTTCTCTGGGAGTTGGTCACATTTCCCAGTAAGAGCTCTCCCTCCCAGCTGGGAGGACCAGCCTGGAAGCATCTGTGAGACCAATGAGGGGTGCAGGCTGGGGCTCTAGACTTTCAGCATCCAGTGTGTTTGTGTGCAGTCAGCCTTTCTGTGTCCAGAATGGCACCAAGTCCTAGATCCGTGCTTGGTATTCCCTAGATCAGAAAACCTCCTCTATTCTTTAAGGGGAAAACTCCCAGCTTGTGCTGAGTTGAGGGAAAGGCAGCAGCCCTATGGACTTCAGACCAGCAACCGGTTCCCCACCCGCTCTCCTGAATTTCAAAGTGAAGTCATCCTCTCCATGCCACCGTCTAGAAGTGACACTGCCATACTTCCTTGTTTTTGAAGGTTTTTGGCTTTTTCTACTGTTGGTTTAGGATTTGGCATGCTTGGGGCTGCTAAGTGATGTGCCACTGATTCATCTGCTTTGTAGCCTTGAAAATGATTTTGTGGCTCTTGCCTTTCTGCTCTCCCCATATTTCTGGACTGATGTCTTTTTTTTTTTTTAAAGAATTAGAAATATATATATTTTTAAAAGATTATTTATTTATTTATATAAGCACTGGGTACAGTCAGAAGCGCGGGAGGGTGAGAGAATTTGTTATAGGACAGGGAGAGGGTCAGCCCAAGCCCCGCAAACCTGCCTATTCTAAATGGGTTCTGCCATCCGCCGCATCAACACAAAACATAGGAGACTTTAATGGGAAGGAACTTTAATAAAACTAGGAAACAATACAGGTAAGGCAAAGAGTCTAGTTTCTAAATGAAGCACCTAAAGTTACCCGTCCCCTCGTGGGTAAAAGTCCATCCATATGGGATTGGCCCAGAGCAAGGCCCCAAAGCCTGCCACAAGTCTAAAGCATCTTCCAGTGGGGACCCACAGAAAAGGGTCACAAACAACTGGACAAGCCCGGAAGGAAAAGAGCAAAATCAACATCAAGATAAAAGCTGCCATTGTCACCTCCCCACGGGTCTCACCCACATCTGTGTCACCCAGTCCACGACCAAAAGACAAGCGCAGTTTCTTTACATGTCTCTAGGCTCCATGTGCCTCTTCCAGGTCTCCTGGCTCCATCCTGCTTCCTTCCTCAGTCTCTTCTGCAGCTTCTCCTCTTCCTGCTCAGCTCCACCCTCCCTTGGGTGGGGCAGGGAACCTCCCCCTTTCCTGGGGACCACCCTGTTACAAATTCACCAGAGCCAGAGCGGGGAGCAGAACAGGCAGAAGGACCGAAGTACACTGCTGAGGGGAGCAGCGGGCGGCAGGAGAGGTCTGTGCACCATGTGGGACCCTCCTCCGGTGGCTGGGGAGCAGCCGGGGATCGAACTGGTGCTGCGGAGGCTGCGGGCAGCTTCACAACCCATCGTTCAACCGCTGTGCCACCAGGGAGGCCATGGACTGATGTCTTTTTAAAAGAAATTCTTTTACTATATTTACTTTGTTTTAATGAGGTTGTAATAGAGCAACTAAGTTAACCTAGAAGTAACGGTTTATACTTTGCAATCTGTCAGCATTATTTTACTCTCATGGGTATTGGAAAGGCTTTAAATGCATACCTTTTCCTTTCAATAGTAGCGGCCCCTTCCAGTTTGTGGGTGTGTCAGTCAGACTTCGACCAGAGAGGCAGCACCAGTGGGGGCAGGTGTGATGTATATGGAAATCTATAAAGTGGTTACAAGGGAGATTGGCTTACAGGTTTCAGGTGCTGGCCAAGCGAGTCTGCAGTCCAGAGCGCTGGAGTCAAGGCAGCAAGGTCACAGGCCAGTGGACTCACCCAGCTCAGACTGAAGACTTCTGCAGGCAGACGGGGAGAGCAGCGTGTGGAGGGGAGCTGCTGTCCACAGGTAGAATTCTTCTTTTTTTTTTTTTAGGGAAGCTTCAGCTTTTAAGATATTTTAAGGCTTCTGTTTCTGAGACCTTTGAATTGAACGGCTCCCCGACTCTATAGAGGATACCCCTGGCTTTCAATATGGCCGTTTGGGGCTTTCATTCCATCTGCAAGATACCCCACCCAACGGCTAATTTAGTGTTTAATTGAATACCTGGGGACTGTAGCCTAGCCAAGCTGATGCATCAAAAGCCATCCTGTGAGTTTACCAACAAATGGGAATTTGGATTGAGTTTGTTCTTGTGTTTATAGACTTACCTCCTTCACACTATGTGGCGTTCACAGTTTACAGAAAATGACATCCAGGCTTTAGGCAATTACAGTAAATTGCCTAAGCCTTTTTCTTATTCTGTTACCTTTCAGGATAAAAACAAACTGTGCTTATTTTAGAGTTTCTCTTTGTTTTCTCATGGATGCTACCTGCTCTGAGGAAGATAACAGTTTAAGCTACTTTATGTCTACTTAAGTCCACAAAAGCTGGACAGAGATGCTGAGAATTAAGTGACTGTGATGATAAGAGAGGAACTGGCAGGATCCCGGGGTGCCCCCTGCAGACTGGAGGATTCTGTGGGGTCAGGCTGCCCCCAGAACTTTGTGGGCTGGAGCTGGCACCTGGCTTGCGATATGTCTCAGAACACATGGCAATAAAAAACAACAGTCAAAAAGTTGCTTCGTTTTCAGGAACAATACATGCTGGTGTTGGTTCTCCACGGATAGAGATGAAACGATAAGCCTAAAATTGTGAAATGTTATGCTGGAATTGGCAGTGGCTCTTTTTATGACCTACAGCTTGTTTTCAGTGAGGGTATCTGCTAATAATTAGAATGAAGATAATATCTCAGTTTTACGTTTTACAAGGTTGTTTTCCTTGCAGTAACTTGTTTTTACATTTGTGTTTGAAACCTGTTAAGTGCTTATTTTTGCTTACATTTTATAAATTCTCAACATATCATTTGTTTTTAAATACCAATGTGTTTTAAAATTTTCATTTTTCATGGCATCTTTGTTCTATTGCTTCTGTGTGCTGCAAGGGCTAGATGAAGGAGGCTTCATCTAGGAGGCTAGGAGGCTGCTATTTGAGGTTATCTTCATTTGTGGTGAATACAACTCTGTTTATTTTTTTTTTTTAAGATTTATTTCTGTATCAAGAACTGGGGTACAGCCCAGAGGTGTGGGGGGTGAGAAGATTCACCAGAGGCAGAGCAGGGAACAGAACAGGCAGACTGACCTAAATACACTGCTGAGGGGAGCAGCGAGCGAGACAGGAGAGGTCTGCTGTCCCCTGTGGGTTGCTCCCTGGCTGGGGATCGAGCTTGTGCTGCAGTGGCTGCGGACAGCTTCATAGGTTGCATCTTAATCCCTTGCGCCAACAGGGAGGCCCGCAACTGATAATACTGATGTTTTAAGATGGAATTTTAATTTGTGCCAGAGAGCAAATGTAAGTTCTCAGCTCCATCTCCTAGAACAATTGACAATTTTGTGATACAAATCAAACCAAACTTTGGACAAGCCCTCACCTTGCATGAAGGGTGTCAGGAGGCAAGTGTGGAATCACTGCTGGTTCTCGCTATGCACCTGCCTTTGCTCATGGGGGGAGTCTCTGAATGGGGTCAAATTGAAAGTGCTGCGCTCTCCCTTCCCCACATAATTCCAGCACCTTCTATGTGGCCTCCATTTTAAGTTGGCTATTTCTCTGAGTGCCCTGGGCCGGCCATTTTAAATAGCTGGGGAGATGTGCTGGCAGCAAGGGAATAGCCCAGGAGGGGCAGATGCTTTCTCTTCCTCTCCTGTGCTGGCTGTGGGTGAGGCCACCAGTAAACTGTCCAAGGGGTAAGGAAGGGGCCCACAAGGAGAGGCAACTCCAGGTATAAATGCTTTCAAGGTTAGAAGACATGTGACTTAGGGTATCCCTGCAAATATTCCCACATACATTTCCACAAACCATGCCAGCAAATTCTTTTTTGCAAATGTGGAGAAAATTACTCATCATTCTCCATCCATTTCAATTAACACAGATTAAAAACCCAAACCTGACATATTTCTACCTTTAGCTGAGAGAAATTCAGCTGAAACGTATATATAATATATATATATATATAAAATATTTAAGGATATTGGGTGAGGGCAGACAGTAGTTCAGATCACTATCAGTGTGCGTCAGGGACAGCTGGCTGTGGTTCACCTGGGGGACCCTCCCTCCAGTGCTCATGGGTTCCTTGGGTTTTGTGGCTTGCGCATGGGGCTGTCCCCAGACAGTGCTGGGCAGAGCGCCAGTACACTGCTAAAACACTGTTGGGGTACATGGTGGTAAATACGGGAGATTCACCTTCTCTTAGGGGAGTGGAGAGAATCCTCTAAAATCCTTCTGGGCTTAGGGGCAGTTTGGGGTATTTGGAAAGACCAGTTGCACTTTTGTTGGTGAACTTGAGAGGCTCTTGTCTCTTTCTGTGACGTATCCGGAAAGTGGTAATCAGAAAATGAAAAGAAAAAGGGAGTGAGGGAGGTGAGACAGTCAGGTACTTTTCTCTGCATTAAACACAAGGAGACAGGATTGTATTATCTGTCCCCGATGGGGGCCAGCCCTTGGTGACCAATGAAGACAGGTCTGTGTGCTCATGCATGTGCACAGCCACGGGACACTGGGTGCTCTGTGCAGGCAGGGGCAGTGTGGCCACGTCCAGGACAGCGGAGCAGGGCTCGCCCGGGAACCCCTTCTCCTGCTGATGGAAACACATCCAACTGCTTTGACTGTAAACCAAGGCTCCATACACGTGTCCGATTCAGCACATCAAGGGCTCTTTTTAATTTTGGGTTTTGGTGTTTTAGAGGCTGGGCTATGGGGGTGGGAGGGACAAAGGGACTCCACCGAATGTTCCCACAGGGCAGGGATCATTGGAGCATCCCGGAGGGCAGCGGGAACAGACAAGTAATGGGGGCTGGGTTGGGGTGCGTTGGCACTGATAGCGGCAACTGTTGAGGGGGTTGGGATGTGAGCAGGAAACTGGGTAGCCGGGCATCTTCTCACATCAGGACTGAGTGGGCTGAAGTTTGGCACTACTGCTGTGGGGAGAGAAGGGAGAGGTCAGTGAGAAGCCACTGGAATTGGGAACAGAAACTTGTGGTTTCCTTGGCTCAAGGGGGCTAGAACCACAGGCTGGACCTTTGAGAACCCCCTTCCCTGGGTGCTGCTTCTGCCTGGGCTTCCCCTGCCTGGGAGCCTGGAGAACAAGGACAAGTTCTGACTAAATGAAGGCCCCAGAGTTCCCCAGGCTTCCAGGTGTGTGCTGAGGGGTGTGTCCCCATCACAGCCAGGAGGGGCTCCGCATGGGAGGCAGCAGCTGACCCACAGCCCTGGCGCTGGGTGTGATGGAGGCACCAAGCCTCCCCAAATGACTGTTTCTCCGGACTATTTTTTACATTTAGAAGTGCTGGGTAATGTTCTAGATTTTTCTGTTGCCATCCTTGAGTTGAAAATTAAGGAAAACACAGGGTCCCCTGTCTAGAATCAGCTGGGAGGCTCCTGGGCACCAATTTGACATTCTTTGTGACAGATGTCTGGACCCCATAGTTCCAGAGAGTAGTTGTCAAGGGCAAAAAACAAAAGGTCTTGTCCTTGGGGAGCATCCCCGTGCCCTGCTTACCTTGCTCCTGGGCTGATACCACATCACTGGGTGGTGGTTCCAGATATGAAAAAAGTTGCACAAATTATCCATTTTTCTCTGAAAAGCAGAAGGGCCTGTGAGGAAGCTCTGAGCTGGCTGCTGCCTCCAGTGGACAGTGTAACCTCTGGTTCCCAAAGTCACCTGAGCTCTGTCCCCTCAAGCTCCCTGGGACAGGACTGTGGCCTCTTCTTGGAGCAAGAGGCCTGGAAGCCTTTGTGTTTTGAGAAGTGAGGGTGTGGGTCAGGGATTGTTCAGGCATCTGGAACAAATTAATATTTTCTGAAGACAAGGCAGGAGCTACTAGCCGAGTTAAAGTACAAGGCTAGAGGAGATATGTGGTGTCTTGGAGGGGAACGTGAGGTACCCGCGGGGTACCTGGGAAGGAGCTAGAAGGAAGGGAGGGGGAGGCCTGCACTCATGAGGCCCACCAGGGAAGGCAGGGAAGAGGCTCCATGCCCTGAGAGTGTGCAGGGTCCTGCTGATGGAGGATGGAGAGAAGAGGAGGCTCAGGACAGACAGAGTGGCCTGGATCCCTGGCGGGGGATCCTAAGGGAGCTCTGGACCCTGCGCTCCAGTTCCATCCTGGTGTTCTCAGAGGGGGAGCCATGTCCTGTGAATGGGAACGAGCCCTTGTTCAGGGCTTCCTCCTCTCTGGAAGGTGTGTTGGGCACCGCTGTGTTGCACACTGAGTGGAAGGCAGGGCTGTCTCTCCTGGTGCCATAGAAGCTCCTGGAGGAAGCCATGGCTCCAAGCAGGATGGAGCAGGACCAGGAGGAGGGGCAAAGCCAGGCAGAAATTGTGGGCTCTTTCTTCCTCCACCCCAGCCATCTGGACTCTATTCTGTGCTGGGCCCCAGTGTGGGATGTGTCTCAGCAGGGCGGGCCCAGCTCTTCCTGGGGAAGGACATTCCCTTCAGGTCCCTCCTCCATGGGACCCTCGTCACCCCGGCTGAGGACAGGAGGACAAGGCAGCGGCTCCTTCCCTCCCTCTGCTGAGCAGGCTTCTGGGGCGGCAGGTGCACCAGCATTTCCACTTATGGGGGAAAGAACTTGACTAAGAAATTTCTTCTTCTTTTTATTTTCTGACCTTCATAAACCTTGTGATTTCATTTTAACTCATACCTCTGCCCAGGGAACCCAAGACATTGTTGGGGCTGATGAGAACCACTGTGTAGTCACCGATTCCATAAACATGAGTTCAGTGAGGGGAGAGCCTGGTACTGGAGCTAAGTGAGCAAAGCTCAGTTCCCTGAACACGCATCTCCATCCAAGCTACACTCTGGGCCCCACAGTTCCCTCCCCAAGGGCCCATCTCACCTCTAGGTGTCTTATGTTGCTATATCCACCATCAGGGACCACCACTGTGGGGCATGTTGATACACACGAGTCCTAGGAAGAGAAAGCTCTTGTCTGGCCGTTCAGAGGTGCAGACACAGGAGGTGTTGCCCCAGGACCTGTCAACTTATGGCCCCTCAGCTAAACTTGTTGGGAGGATTCAAGGACACCTGAGTAAGAGCACCGTGTACTGTAAGGGAGCACCTCCGTGGAAAACACAAGCAACCTCTACATAGTTTGCAAGATTGATCCTTCCCCAAAGGGCAGTAAATTCTCTCCTGCCCCTGTGTAACTTGGGGCTGCTCTTTGGAGAAGCCTGGTCTTGGGGCTGTGCAATGTAAAGGTGGATATTCGGAGGAGCATCAGCAGAGGCTGATAAGCCTGGTGTTGGCAGATGCAGCCTTATGCAGCAGCAGAAGCCTGACCACACTGCAGCAGCACTGAGCCAGCCTCTGAGTGGGGCCTGCTTCCTAGGTCTCCCCGTTATAGGTCACAGTGGCCCTGCTGTGCAAATTCTGTGGGTCCTGTTTGGGCCTCTACACCCGGGTGAGCCATAGGCAGCCAGCTGACTCTTGGGTCCTGGTGTACCGGGACTGGTCTCCCTCACATCTCATGCCAGGACAGGCTCTCTTCACCCTCCTCAGCCCTGAAGTCCCCAAAGGACAAACCCAGTCAATCCACAACCTGCCAGGAGACAGGGCAAACCCAAGGAAATGAAACCCAACAGGATCAGAGTGCGGGAGGGTGACCAGTACTGGAACCCTGAGGTTCCTTTTCCAAATGCTCACTTAAGCCAGGAAAGGAGCAGCCAATGATCAATGTTTGGGAACTGACAAAAACAAAAACAAAGTCTGTTCACGTCACTGTGGGTCATGGCTCTTGCTGAAACAGGCCACTGCTCTTTGGTAATGTGATGGAGGTTCTGGATCAGACCATTGGGAGCCTGGAGAGGGTGTTTTCTGTATGTCATTTTGTGAGTCCTAGGTGCTCCTAGGTGTCCCTCCCTGCCCCTCTGTCACCCTGCTTTCTGCCAGCTCTCTCTGTCCAGGTAGGTGGAGATTGTGATGTGGGGAGTGGAAATATCCCACAGCTCAGGAGGCCTCTTTGTGAAGGTCTGTGTGGGCATCAGGAATAAAAACACAACTCACCGCTGGCTCCTTGTTCTAGAAAGTGAGACAAAGGCAGGATGAAAGGCTGTGCAGGACTCTGGTCCACACAGGCAGGAGGGGACTCTGCTCAGCGGGAGTGAGTGAGAACATGGTTTGGGTGTCACTGTGGGCGCCCACCCCAGTGGATTGGTGACCAGCAGGTTGCATGTCCCCACACCTGACTCCTCACTTATCAGAGGGACGTGGTACCTTCCAGTCACTGCTCGCTCCTGGCTGCTGCTGTGCCTTTCCCTCTGCTTCTCCCTCTCTCTCCATCCAGCAGTGTCCTTGACGCCGCCACCATGCCCTGCTGCCTCCCTCCTCCTGGCTGGCTGTCCTCTGCTATTGCTCTCCTTTATCAGGGCAGGTGGTCCCCAGAAGGTGGCATTGTGTGTTCAACTTCATGCCCGCCCAGGCACCAACACCTTCCCAGACCCCAGACTGCAGCTACTGTGGACAGGCTGGCAGCAGCTTCCTTTCTGTCCCTGTTTGCCCAGTATGGGCAGCACCCGCTGGCCCTCAAGAAGGAGATGGAGGGAGTTGGAAGCAGCACTGGGATGGGATGACACCGCGCCTGTTTCTAAAGCTCAGCTGCACAGAGGTTGCAAATCCTGCTCATTCTGTGGCCCCTGCAAGGTCCCTGCTTCTTCCCTCAACAGCAGCTTTCTCCTCCAGCCTCTTGTCCACCTGAGTGCTCAGAGCCTGGGAGCCATGAGCAGCCCTGCCCGGGATTTTGGGCCCTTGTCCCCATAGACCACAGTCTGTGCAAGCAAGAGGCAGGAGGCCCCTGCCAGGTTGTCTGTCTGCCCGGGAATGGAGGGCAGATTCTGTGTTTCTCTTTGCTCCTGTGGAGACTGTGCACTGAGGGGAGCAGCAGAGACTCAGGGCAGCACGTGACGGGTCTCTAGAGTAGTTGTCTGGGCTCAGGGAGGGTTGCAGGCAGAGGTACTCACCTTTCTAAAACAAAATATCCACAGCAACACGATCACCACTGGTACTGAAGTTATGCCTAGGACTATTGCCAGTTGATAAGGGTTGATATCAGGAAACGGCATGTTTCTTTTTTTGGGAACTGCTGGCACATGTGTCACATCTGGATTGTCCGTTGGCTGCACAGTCTGCAGAGAGCACACAGACCGGGAGTGTAGCCTGGGGCCTCCAGACCCCCACTAGTGAGGATACACTCTAGGCTCCCCCATCAGCCCACTCCATTCTCTGCAGGTTGCCACCTGGGCAGAACATAAGTACTGGGCCCGACTATGCCCAGAGAGACTGTGGAGGTGGGGCACACCCGCCCCACTAGCCATGCTCAGAGGCTCAGCTCAGGGCCCTGTCAAGGAAACCAGAATACTTGAGGAGTGGCCAGCCCAGCCCCTACCCCAAGCCCTGGCTGAAAGTGCAGGGACACAGAGTTGGACAGATACACAGATGGGTGTCTGCAGGGATGGGCCCCCTGATGGGTAGGGGTGCAAGAACAGAGCAGGAGACCCAGCCTCATTGCACACAATGGCCTCCCGCTCTTGTAGGCTCTGTAGCTGTGGGCTGAGCTCCTCAATCTCTCTCACCTCCGTGCCTACATGTGAGCAGGAGATGAGAGGGTCGTGAGTTGTGGAAGGTGATCAAATTACTGGCACATGCCCAGTCCGTGTGGGGCTGAAGGAAGGGGCTGTCTTCGTCGTCATTCGAACCAAGAGTAAGTGGTTCTCAGGTGGGACCCCACGCAGTCTCTGCTCAGAGCAGCAGGCGAGGGGGCAGGAGAGAGGGCTGGTGCCCAGGGACCAGGGTAACAGAGATAACGGCAAGCTCAGGACTGCTGAATGGTCGTGCTGTGCCCAGCCTGGAGGCTCTCCTGAGAGCTTTTCTAATGTGCCCATGATAGGTGAGCTGTGCCTTGGTGGGACTCCTGATGGGCTGATATGAGTCCTCTGGCTGGTCTGAGCTGATGTGCAGACACAGAGCAGATGGACACAGGAGATGTGGCACTGCGTGGGCCCTCACATGCGTGAGCAAGACTCAGGACTGTGGCAATGGAGCATCGCATTCCTGCTGCCCAGTACCACTTCTCCAGCTTAATGTTCTCCATTGCCCACATCTTGCTGCCCTGTATTAGGTTGCCCGGATGATGTGGAGCCTGGTAAGGGGCCTGTCACCTTCCTTCCCAGGTGTCCCATGCTGAGCTAGTCCTTGTTGGGAGAAGCTGCCCAGTCCTGTTGGCATGTGCCACTTGCTGGGCCTGTCCTGGGCACTGGTCCTCTCTCTTGCCTCCCTAGCATGACTCTCTCCCCATGGCTGGCTTCTGGACAGCCCAAGGGGGGACAATGTACTTACCCTGTGATCCCCACAGTCCTTGCTGCTGATCCTGAGCCCGTTGCTGATGAAGCTGGCACCGTTGTTCAGGCTCACTTCAACAGAGATCTCACTAAACACAGAAAGGACAGATGGTGACCACACGTCCAGGTCGGCACAGCTCTGGTTTCTGCCAAACCATAGCCCACAGCTCTCTCTACTGTGATGGCTTTGAACATCAGGCATTTGGGGCTACTGGAGGGCAGATGGCCTAGGGAGGAGACCCCACCCCAAGTCCCATGAGGTCCACCCGGTGATGAGGATGACCAGTGAGGGATTCTGCATGGGGTCAGATGCTTTATGGTCATGAGCTCAGTGATGGGAGGCTGTGTGGTGTCACCATCCTGACTCTTGTGTATTTGCATTGTGCTGGCTCTACTCTGAAGGCTGATGGGAGTAGTGGAGCCCCCCTGGGTCCCTCATCTTCCATATCTGTCCTCAGCAGGGGCTGCAGCTCAGCAGACCCCTGAGCTCATCAGGCGAGCCCCAAGACGGGCAGGTCAGGACGATGCCCTGAAGCCTCCCAGAACACATCACATGTTGCCCAGTAGAGGTGGCCCCACATTCTGCATCTCCTGGGGCAAAAATGCCTGCCTGTCCCAGAGTGGTACTTACCTGGCTGCTTCCTCTATCTTCACTCCCGAACACTTTATGCTGGTGTCGTCTACATCGGTGGCTTTTTTATCTAAAGCAAATGAGATAGGAAGAAAGTCAGTGGACGTGCCCATCCACCCCCGCTCCCGTCTGCCTGCCCTTGGCTGGTGCAGCTCTGCGGGTCAGATGCAGAGTCTCTTCTCTGCCCTCTCAGCACCAGCCCCGGGCTATCACCTGCGTTGAGTGGGATCCAGCTCTCCAAGGCTTATATCTGTGGGGGTGAAGGGAAAGGCAGACAAGAAAGCACAAAGAAAACAAATGCTAGAGAATGAAAATGTGACATTAATGAACAGGGCTGGACACAGAATGGATGAGGCAGGCACTGGGAACAAACTGAGATTTAGGAAAACTGAAATATTGATACATAAAATTTCATCACACTGGTGTTTGCTTCAAAATAATTCATTGTCCTATTTTGATAGTTACTGAAATTAAGTGATGCTGTTTCAAGTCCTTTTTTCAATATTTCTATTTTCCTATATATTGAGCATTTCTATTAGAAAGAAGTTCTCTCTGAGTGGCCTATCCTGGGGGTGACTGTGATGAGGGGAGAGTCAGGGCAAGATCCCAGGGCAGAGTTCTGCCCTGTGGGAACAGCATGTGTGAAGCCCTGAGGCAGCACTACCTGACCTTGTCCCAGAAGGAAGAAGAAGGTGGGCAGGAGCTCTTGGTCCTGGAAGAGTCTGGGTTTTATTCTAAGGACAAGGAGTCTGTTGAGGGGTGAGCCATCTCAGCACATGTTTTAGACATTGAAGAAATAGGACCGACCCTGGACTGAATATGGAGATAAAAGCAAAGAGGGATGACATGCAGGTTTTGACCAGATTAATTGGGTGATGGTGGCTCCATTTATTGGAATAGGGGATTTCTGAGGAGGGTATAGTGATTTTCTTTATTTCCTTTTGTTTTGTGTTACATTGTGTAAGCATGGCAGTCACGAGGCTGTAAGCGTTCCTTGTAGTTGTGGGGCCTACTCACTTCTGAGTCCCTGGTCTTTTACAGCCCTGAATGCTGGCTGAGTGAAGGAGGCCCAGCTGCCTTTGCCCGCTGATTTACCACTCCACGCAACCTGGCCAAGCTCCGCAGGGTCCCATTCTTCTCCTCTGGGATTCAGAATCGAGGGCACACCGGTTTGACCACAATGATACAGTGGACAATCCTTTCCCTGGCCTTCTGCTTTACTCATGCTTCCCAAGACCCTAGTTGGAACCACAGCTCTGCACTTGCAGACAGATGCAGGCCAGCTGTGCCTCTCAGTAGGATCAAGGCAAGTCCTCTCCCAGACCTGCTCCAGAGGCTGTGAATAGCAGGAGGGGAGGACGTGCTGTGGGAGGGGCCATGCTCAGGGGCCGGCCTGGCCTCCAGGCACAGCTCAGGAGACATCTTTCTAAGAGTGGAGTGCATTTAAATGTTTTCCTAACACAAAAATAATAGACTTGTTCTGAATTTTGGTATATTCTTTCATTTTGATAAGACAGGAGACCGGGTGTCACAGACAGATGCTGCAAAAATAAACAGATCATAATCAAACAAAAAATTCTCCACAGATAGCCCTAATGTCTTCATGTTTTTAAAGCATCTGTTTAACATTAGGAACATCTTTTAGAAACTTGTGTCATAAAGAAATATAGGTGGGACAACCAACAATTTCTTCATTTCCACTTGTTTCTTTTTCTATCAATGCATTAAAGAAAATGAGGCTTTACTGAGCGGCGTTTAAGAGTGTTAAAGGTACTTATCATTAGGCGTGGGATGGCGTCATGTTTTTAGTCTTTTTATTTCCCTGCTTTGTACTGTGTGTCATTGTCATTATAACCTCCAAACTACTAATGTTTTTCTCTCCTCTGTCATAGGTGAGGGCTGTTCTGACCTATGGTACATTCCCACATGAGTAAGCTTCTTGGCAGTAACTAAATTGTGCTTGTGCTGTGAAATTCTGCTCTCTGTTATTCCTTTCCTTGTGAAACTAGCCATCATGTGTGCTAGAGGGCAGGGTTTGCCTTTTATCCAAGGGTAGGCAGGGAAATGGTCAGGATAAAGAGGAAATATCCCCAAAGAGGTGCTTTCCTGACTGGTCTCATCAGGTGTCCACAGTCCAGAGCCAGGAGGAGGAGGTGACGGCCCGCCCTTGCATACTGAGGGCCCATCGAAGCATGGAGGACTACAGAGGAGTTTTCAACCAATATTAACTGACCAAACTGAATATTTCAGTTGCTACATTAAAAAAACTACAATGTAAACTATCAAATACTAAACAATGAAGGCAGCTAAGAATAAATAATGAAGCACTGATTTTAAATTTAGTTATGCTTATTTGTATTTTCTAAAATGTTTTCCCGCATGTTTTCCTAGAGGAAAATGTTACCGAAACAACCAAATCAGTTCTCATTGGTGCATCAGACGCCACCCAGCAAACATTCCAGCCCACCTGCTCTGGGTGCCTCTGGCAGGAGCAGATGGCGTTCTGCAGAGGGGCCCCGGACTGTGGGGTGGGCTCTCCCCTGGGAGGCCCTGGCACTGGTGCAGCTTGGGGACACAGGCTGGCCGTCACCTCGTAGGAAAGATGTGCACCCACAGACAGTATCATATCACTGCGGGACGGACAGGGCTCACCTGCCCAGCCTACGTGCATCTGGGCAAGGCACAAAGCCCAGCAGGGACAGTCAGACAGCCTGGGTTATTGTCCATCTTTTCCTTCATCAGTTCGTGATGTTGGGCATCTATGTGTCATAGAGCTTAGAAAGTGCAGCTCATACATTGTTTCCATTACATATTAGATAAAACAGAGCAAGAAGGGAAATTTCACAGGGTCAAGGTCACACAGGTAACATGTGCCTGTGCCAGATCCCAGGAGCTGGACCTCGCGCTTGGCCTTGTTTCTCAATCGAAAGTGAACCTACCCTCCTGGGAAAGCTACCAGTGCACCTGGCATGAACTCAGAGCCCAGGTCTGCTTCCAGTTCCACCTGGTCGACTCGTGAGATTGGGGTCCTTGTCTTTCAGGGAAAGTGAGAGATGAAGACAGTGCAGAGGGAGGCAACTCTGAGGGAAGACCCTCCTCACAGGGTGCAGCCCTTGCCCCAGACCCTTTTGTGGCTCTGGCAATTGATGGCAATCCACTCTCATTGCTGCCTTTATCTTCACAGCATCCTCAGCGAATGGGCATCAAGGGTTCTGGTGCATGGTGGCTGTAGGGAGACACGTCTGTGGTAAATTTGTCACTTGTATAAATCAGGGAGGTACTTACCAAAAAATACGGTGTCATTGATTTCAAATCTGCAAAGAACTTCGTTTTTGTTTCTGGCGTTACGGAAACCTCTTCCAAAGATGCTTACATCATAGTTTTCTGCAAGGGCAACATCCAAAGATGTGTGTAAGGAGGGCCTGAGCTCTGCTGTCTGCTGATCTCATCACTATGGCAGTCTACTCCCTAATGGAGCCCCCAAGGGACTCCTGGAGGAGGCAGCTGCTCTGAACCAACATCTGGGTGTCTCCTGAGGCTGACCTGGTGTTTCTCCGGGGCCACTGTGAGGAGGCTGGGCGGAGCTCTCGGGCACTCTCACCACAACTGCTAACTGGCACACACTGACCATTCAAGGCTCCTCCTGGACCCATCGCCATGAACAAACCCGTTGTGGGTTTGCAATCTTTAAATCTTTAAGTCCTGAGGCTCCTTAAGGGGCTCAGGCAGTGCTGTTCTGCCCCCACCATACTGCCATCATAAAGGAGAGTGGAGCAAGACAGTGCAGGCTGCACCACGCTGTCTCTTGCCTGAACTGAGCAACCTGGCCTGATTGCTTATGAAATCAATTGATGTTTGGGGGTCTGTTTCTCTTTCCTATCTTTTTGTGTGCCTTAGCAGACTGAGGAGCTCAGAAATAAGGTGGGACCCAGGTGAGACAAGAAAGGAGCAGCTGATCCTGTACCAAAGAATCCCCCTTCCCTTAGCTGTGAGGCAGATCCCTGAACATGATTGTTCTTCCCGCTCTTACTGACCCTCTGGGCCTCCTCACTTCCCTGCCTAGGGATTCATGAAGAGCCCTTCCTTCTGCTGTGTGGGGAGTGATTTGCTGAGGGACATCTTGTCCCACTCTTTGATTGGACACTGGGGATCTTCTCCCCTGGAATAAATACCAGGGGACACAGTGAGTTGGGTTTGGCTGCTGGGATTTAGAAATGAACCTATGGGGCCTCCCCGGTGGTGCAGCAGTTGAGCGCTGGGCTGCACAGCTGCGTGCAGCCTGTGCTCGCCAGTTTTATCCCCGGCTGCTGGTGAGGGTCTCACAGGGTGAACAGACCTCTCCTGCCGCCCGCTGCTCCCCTCAGCAGTGTACTTCGTTAGTCTGCCTGTTCTGTCCCCCCTCTGGTTCTGGTGAATTCTCTCACCCGCCCACGCTTCTGACTGTATCCAGTGCTTCTATAAACAAATAAATCTTTAAAAAAAAATTAGAAATGAACCTATGAAGGCCTTCTTGCTGCAGGTCATCATTAGCCTCCCCTGGTGCCTCAGTCTCAGATCTAGCTATTCCAGTGCCCAGTGCTTGATTTGCTCAATTGATTCGGTTAATTAATTGGAGGAACCAACCCTAATAATGCCAGCACAACCTTAACCTTGGTAGTTTGGATCTCTAGCATCAAGCCTTCCTACAGCCATCGTAAGTTGATGGTTGTCAGTTCTTTGCTTTGAAGAAAATAAATTTAGGGCTGTGGACAGAAGCTGGCATCTGATTAGTTTTGTAGGCCTTCAAGTCTCTTTAAAAACATGGGTCCCTTACACAAGGATGGTTTAACATCCGAAAATCAATCAACATTATCCAACACATCAACAAAAAGAAATATAAAAACCATATGATAATATCAATAGATGCTGAGAAAGCTTTCGACAAAGTGCAACACCCATTCATGATAAAAGCCCTTGAAATTCTTGGGATACAAGGAACATACCTCAACATCATAAAGGCCATCTATGACAAGCCAACAGCCAGTATAATTCTCAATGGTGAAAAGCTGAAAGCATTTCCATTAAGATCTGGAACAAGACAAGGATGTCCACTCTCACCACTGCTTTTCAGTATAATACTGGAAATCCTAGCCAGAGCAATAAGACAAGAGAAAGACATCCAAGGAATCCAAATAGGAAAAGAAGAAGTCAAACCATCACTATTTGCAGATGATATGATAATATACATAGAGAACCCCAAAAACTCCACAGAAAAACTAATTCAACTCATCAATCAGTTCAGTAAAGTGGCAGGATACAAAATCAACACGCAAAAGTCAGTAGCCTTCCTATACACAAACAATAAATCTGAAGAAGAAGAAATCAAAAAAACCATCCCTTTTATTATTGAAACAAAAAAAATCAAATATTTGGGAATAAATCTAACAAAAGAGGTAAAGGACCTATACAAAGAAAACTATAAAACACTGTTAAAAGAAATAGAAGAAGACACAAAGAAATGGAAAGACATCCCCTGCTCATGGATTGGAAGAATAAACATTATTAAAATGGCCATCCTACCAAAAGCAATATACAGATTCAATGCTATTCCAATAAAAATTTCAATGTCATTCTTCAAAGAAATAGAACAATTATTGATGAAATTCGTATGGAATCACAAAAAACCCCGAATAGCCAAAGCTCTCCTGAAAAAAAAAAGAAGGGAATGGAGGCATCACACTCCCAGACTTCAAACTATACTACAAAGCCATAATCATCAAAACTGCATGGTATTGGAACAAGAACAGACATACAGACCAATGGAATCGAATAGAAAATCCAGAAATAAACCCACAGATTTATGGTCAACTAATCTTTGACAAAGGAGCAAAGACTATGCATTGGAGCAAAGAAAGTTTGTTCAATAAATGGTGCTGGGAAAACTGGGTCGCCACATGCAAAAGAATGAAGCTTGACCACTATCTCACACCATACACAAAAATCAACTCAAAATGGATCAAAGAACTAGACATAAGACCTGAAACCATAAAATACATAGAAGGAAATATAGGCGAAACACTACGTGATTTGCACATCAAAGACATCTTTACAGACACATCACCCAAAGCAGTGATAGTGAAGGCAAAGATAAACAGCTGGGACTCCATCAAATTAAAGAGCTTCTGCACAGCAAAAGAGACAATAACAAAAACAAAGAGAAACCACCCCAACTGGGAGAACATTTTTGCACACAACACTAATGATAAAGGACTGATCACAAAAATCTGCAAAGAGCTGATGAGACTCAACAACAACAAAGAAAATAATCCAGTCAAAAAATGGGCAGAAGAGCTAAAAAGAAACTTCTCTGAAAAGGAAATGCAAATGGCCAACAGGCATATGAAAAAATGTTCAACATCACTTGTCATCAGGGAAATGCAAATCAAAACTACCATGAGATACCATCTTACACCAATGAGAATGGCACATATTAAAAAAACTAGCAACAACAAATGTTGGCGAGGGTGTGGAGAAAAAGGAACTCTTCTGCACTGTTGGTGGGAGTGCAAACTGGTCCAACCACTATGGAGAGCTGTGTGGAGATTTCTGGACCTACTAAACATAGAGCTTCCATATGATCCAGCAATCCCACTCCTAGGTATTTACCCAAAGGACACAGAAACATCAATTCCAAAGAGCACCTGCACTCCTATGTTTATAGCAGCACTATTTACAATAGCTAAGCTTTGGAAACAGCCCAAATGCCCAAAATTAGATGACTGGATCAAGAAGATGTGGTACATATACACCATGGAATATTACTCAGCATTCAAAAAAGATAAACACATGCAATTTGCAGCAACATGGATGGCGCTGGAAGGGATCATGCTCAGCGAAATAAGCCAAAAAGAAAAAGAAAAATACCGGATGGTCTCACTCATAGCAGGAATCTAGAAAACTTAAATAAGGGACCAGGAAAATGAGTAACTATAAGAAAGTGAAAATCAAAATCAACAAAAAACTATGAGCCAGAGACACTTTTTGGGGGTGAGGGGCGGGAGGGGAGGGATTGGGGTCAGAATTGGGGGGTTGCAATTGTATGGGGAATATAAAAATAAAATTTAAGATTAAAAAAAAATCACAATAATAAAACATAAAAACAATATATTTAAAAAAAAATAAAAAACAAACAAACAAACAAAAAAAACAATAAAAACATGGGTCCCTTGCTCCAGGTGGCTGGCCATGGGCAGCGGAGCTTAGCTGGAGCAGCCTTCTGTCTGACCCAGGTCAGGCTTCTCCAGCCTTCCTGGCAAGGGCACAGAGGCAGAGCCCGCTATCTGGGCCTGAATGCAGTGGGTGAGGCTGTGTGCTGTTCCTGGGGAAGGGCGTGCTTATCCATGGCTCTCAGCTGTCCTCTGCTTGCCCTGGGGCAGCACAACATGCACTCATAGGACTTCAGGCCTAAAGAAAGTCCTGGACCTCCTCACCACAAAGCTGCGGACTCTCTGGGAGAGCGGGCATCCTTGTCTTGGTCCAGCTCTCAGAAGAGGCCTTCCCCATTTGCCCTGAGGTTGATAACAGCTGGGTGTGTTGGTGTGGAGGGATGAAGGTCAGATTATGTTCCTGTTAAGACACTGGACATTAAACTGTGTCTAGGTATTTTTCTTTCTTCTTTGAAATCAACATTTTCTCTTACTCATTTTGCTGATAGGATGAATTACATGGATGTTTCAACTGATATATCAGCCCTGTGTTTCTGGGGTGATCCTAAATTGGCTCTGAAGTATTTTCCTTGTGAGATTCTATTGGATATTATTGTCAGTATTTTATTTAGGGGTTTAACATATAATTTTCCTCATTTATAAATTAAACTTTTGATTTTGTGATAAAAATGAATTATACTAATTTATTATGGTAATCATTTCACCTTTTATATGTCAAACCATTCTGTGATATAACTTCAAATCACATAAAACTATATGTCAACTCTAGTCATGAAAACTGGGAATAAAGAGCAATTTATTCTTACATATTTTCATCGCACACATTTAAACTGCACACTTACACTACATTCATGACAGACATCGAAGCACAACTCACATCACACACAAACACACACATGCCTTTGTTTAGAAAAGAGACCCCAGCTCTTACCTCCCACACAGTAATCGGTTGGTTCCACACTTGTAAGCTCAATGCAGGACTTAGCTGCGAGCTGAAACAGACAGTGGTTTGGGTCAGGGAAAGTGAAGAGTGGGCATGGTAAGAGCCACGTCATGCCACCCCCATACCACCCCTCTCTCACTGAGTCAACGATGTTCTTGAGATCATAGAATCCAGAATCCACACCAACCACGTGCTTCTCGCTGTCCGCAATTGCCAGGAGCTACAAGAGGAGCAGAAGGCTTGGACCCACAGTGGGACTGAGGGGCCAGCAGGACCCCATCCCAGTGCTCAGGCTCAGGCTTCATGCCATGTGAGACTCAGCGCCCCACCCTGGCCTCGCCAGCAGCCCATCCTTCTGGAATGGAAAGTTCTACCTGTTCCCCAGGTCTGTGGGCTCATACAACACTGTTACTCATTTCTGCAGTGGTCACATGTTGTCCAGATATTTGGGGTGGGTTAGAGAACCATCCTCTGGGTGACCCCGCAAAAGCTTTCCATAACTGTTTTCCGCAGTTGGCTTCTGTTCTGAATTACCTGATTTTTCATGTATTTGTTTACACCCACAGCATAAACAGTCCCTCCCAGTTGTCGAATCTTCTGAGCCTAAGACAAAGACCGTGTTAAGTGCAAATCAGTAAACATGTGGAGCAAAGGCTGGTAAAGTTGGGCAGGACTCACTTCTTTCTTGGTTGCCTCAAAGGACTCTGGCCAAAGTGTTCCATCCGTCAGGGAGATAACCATTGAGTGAAATTTCTTTTCTGTGGGAAAAACAGGGAGTGGCCTGCAGTAAAGCTGCCCAGAGTGACCTGCCACAAGTGTGAAGGCCATGCACTGTCTCCCAGTTCCCTCCTCCCGGGAGAGGCTGCCAGACCTCAGCACTCATGTTTTTGAGTGCCTCGAGGGCTGTCGAGGAGTTGCCAGGAGGGAGGAGACACCTTCGCCAACCCTCTTTACAGAGGAGGAGACTGAGCCTGGCTGAGGACTTTTCTTACTGGATTCTCACTGCTACCAAAAAGCAGAATCTTTTCTCTGAGAGGCCAAGTCCAGCTATTTCACTGGACAAAGGCAAGCCTTTCCCTTGAGCAATGGCGAAGCAGTCAGCCCATGATCAAGACCATCCATAGGATCAGCGGAGGACGGGACACTAGTGCTGGACTCCGTGGGCCCAGTTAGTCAGAAACCAAGGTCAGAGATGCTTGGGTAGTAGCCCCTGGTTCCCGCTGAAAGCCTTTCCCCACCAGTCCTCCTGGCTGCAGCTTTCCTTCCAGGAGCATCCACCCTGCAGACTCAATCCCAGTGGAGACGGTGCTGGGCTGACACAGCTGCCAGGCCTGGGGACACACAGGCCAGGACGAGCGTCGGCCAGAGGGAAGATGATGAAGGGGAAGGAGGCAGCCCCGCCATGGGAACGCGGCAGAGCGTGGTCGGCAAGGGGAAAATCAAGCTCTTTTCTTCCATAAGCAGAGTCTTGCCTGCCCGAGGTACCCTGGCCTTTCTCCCTTTTCCACCAAAAACACCGGTGGGCCAGGTGCCTTATACTTACTAAACACCAGGAATGTACACTCAGGACCCCACAAGTCTCAGAATCATCAGGGGGGCTGCCCTTCCCCCTCTGCGCACAGACGAGGAGCCTGGAGGACATATTGGGCAGGAAACTTGCACAAGAGTCAGCTCGCAAGTGGGGGCCACCAGACTGCTGAGCCCCCCGCCTGACTGTCTTGGATCCGACCTGTCTCGAAGTGAGCAGGAGCTTACCTTCAGGGTTTGCTGTGGAGATCTGCTCACTGACCTGCAGAAACAAGAAGGCTTGTTGAGAGGACTCAGATATTCTGAGCACTTGCTAAAGCAGGATAAATTCTTAGAGCTCTGGCTGTACCGCTTTAAATCCTTCCTGCATGTTTGTGTCTCCGGTAGGCACTGTGTTCCGCAGTTTGTTGAGACCCTCTTCTATTTCTTTTCTAAAAAAAAAATTAAAATAGGGGTATTGCAGTAGGAAGAAGGGTGGAGTGTTCTTTTTTTTTTTTTTATAGAGGCATGTTTATTTCTTTCTTTGTTTTGTTTGTTTGTTCTGTTTACACATGCACTGGGTATAGTCAGAAGCGCGGGAGGGCGAGAGAATTCACCAGAGCCAGAGTGGAGAGCAGAACAGGCAGAAGGACGGAAGTACACTGCTGAGGGGAGCAGCGGGCGGCAGGAGAGGTCTGCGCGCCATGTGGGACCCTCCTCAGGTTGCCGGGGAGCAGCCGGGGATCGAACCGGCGCCGCAGAGGCCACGGGCAGCTTCTTAACCCAGCGCTCAACCGCTGTGCCACCGGGGAGGCCCGGGTGGAGTGTTCTTAAACAACCCCATCCATGCTGGCACATTCCACATTGGGCAGACTGACCTGGACGAGGAGGCCACAGTCAGGAAGGCTGCCATGGCCCTTCAGCCCGGAGTCTGTGAAATTGATCTCAGTACTCATCGCTATATCAGGTTCACAGCCCCAGGGGGACTTCATGAAGGGCCTGTCTGACCATCTACAGAGTGGGGAGCAGTTGTGACTGCGCTAGTGTGAACCCGGAACTCACAATGGGACTGCCAGGACAGCAGCACCTCAGAGCTCCCCTGTGGGGCACATCACCGTCCACTAGGCAAGGCTGAGTTTGGTAAGGGTCACCCTGATAATACCCCTGCCCTGTCCCTTCCTCCCTGCCCCAGACCGCTGAGGGTGACTGGGAACCCACAGCCTCTTCCCCTTCAGGATTGGTTCTGAAGGAAGCAGCGAAGCTGCTTTGAGTGCTGAGCTCCTTGACTTCAAGTGCTCCTGATAGGAAGGACCTAAGGCTCAGGAAGGGGCCATAACTGCTGCCCATGCAGGCGGCCACAGTTTTGTCCTCTACGGCTGCTGCTAAAGTAGATAGCAGGTGGGAGTGGGACACAAGTGGGATGGAGCTCGGACAGGCTGATCCAAACTGGAGATCTGAGCTGGCACAGCAAGGCTGAGGAGAGCGGGTCCTCCTAAAGGCTGGTTTCTCATTGCAGACAGAATTACTGCCATGGGGCAAGGTCTGAGAGCCCCAGGTCCAGCCCTGATTGGGCCAGCCCAGGAGGTGAAGGGCCCAGGAACCATGATAAATGGAGGTCAAACCAAGTCCTGTGCTGCCCAGCCCAGTCTCCCCTTCTCTTGACAGATTTTGGACAATTTTATTGTGTCAACTGTACCCACCCCACCTGCATTCCAGGACCCAGCTCAGACAGGCTTTGCTCTGGCCAAGTAGGTTCTCCCTGGACTTTACCTGCACCCCACTCCCAGCTCTGCTCATGGAAATGAAGCCAGGTTCCTGGGATGCTCAGCCAGCCCCACTTCTCTTACAATGTCACCACCCCAGACACAGGATTTCAGATGATTTACACTACCCTGTGCTCCACTCCCAAAGCACACACCCTTCCTCAGGGCTGAGGTCCCCTCTTATTCTCCTAGAGAGGGTCAGGATCCATCCACGAGCCTCCCACAGCTCTCACGGTGTGTCTGGGCCCTGAGCACCTGTCCTAGTGGAGGTGCTGGTTTCCTCTCCTCAGGGGCAGCTCTTTACTAGAGGCCACACCCAGTCCCTTCTGCCTCTCTCTGTCACATGTGAGAATCTCTCCTCAGAAACTCGCTTTCTTCCACCTCAGCCCCCTGAAGTTGCTCTCTCCTAAATGAAAGCCTCACAGACAAATCCTGCTCCTCTGCATGAGGAAAGAGTCTGCTCACTCCTTTCTTCTTCTGGGAGCTAAGTCTCGGCTCTCATACACTGCATCTGCACACACCTGCATGCAGGCCTCTGGTCCTGCTCACTGGAGGCCCTGCTTTTCTCCATGGTCCTGGACATTGGGTGATGACACAAGCCCTGGGGCCGCTCTGGTCCTAAATGGCTACAAACTTTGTGGTGCTCTGCCCACAAGAACTGCAGTCCAGTCTTTCTTGTTGATGAGAACCTTAACCTTCCAGCTATTCAGAAGCGCCAGAACTTCCCACCTTCAGGTCTTTGGGCACAGTTCTGGGACCGCCTATGCCCAGCTGGAATGCCTGTGTCATGCCTCCACAAGCATGCAGCCCGCCTTGTGCTCAGGTCCCAATCATGCCATCCCAGGAACCAAGCTCCCCACACTGAAGCCCCCCCAAATTCCTCCTGGTCCTTCTCCATCCCCCTCTTCCCCACTGTCACAGGTCCCCAACGGGGCCGTGTTCATAAAGGACCCTCATGTCTGCTCCATCAGACTCCAGAATCTTCACATATCCCATTCTCAGAAAAGGGAAGGTCACTGAGATGAGGACTTGGGACAGGGGAAGGACAGGGCTGGAGGGGCGGAGATCGTCTAGAAACACAGGGGCTGCCAGTGAGAGTGCAGGCTTTATCAAAGGGGCTGGGAGTAGAGGCTGGCGGTCAGGGTGGATATTGAGGGGAAGCCATGCCAGCCCAGGCTGAAGCCTGTGGGCTCCTGACTGAAACTCAGGACTCCTCTGCAGAGTTTTCCCTGTGGCCTCTGTCTCCCCCCTCCCAGCACCACTATGTCTGCCTTGAGGGGGTGAAGCTGAACTTACTTGTCCGAGGTGAGCTTTAGGACGGTGTGGGCCTGTGTGGAGAAGGTGACGATCGAGACGCGCATGTTCGTGCTGGGGAGGAAGCACGTGTTTGTGAGAGTCTTAAGCACAGGCTTTAGATGACCCCACGAGCAGCCGGGGAGGTGACACCTGTCTGTGCTCATTTTGCTCTACCCTGGGAGCACTTGCTGAGTTCCAGAAGTTACCATAAATTTAGTGAAGGATCTGAGGCCAGTAAATATGTGGCTCTCCAGGGAGACTGTCAGGGTGGTGTCCTGTACCATCCCCAGATCCCAACCTCTACCCCTCTCTCTCTCTCTCTCTCTCTCTCTCTCTCTCTCTCTCTCTCTCTCTCTCTCTCTCTCTCTCTCACACACACACACACACACACACACACACACACAAGTGCATGGTTCATGCCTCACACACTCAGTGTACGTCCCCATGCCTGCCCTGTAGTAGCCTCTCTTCTACTGTAACGTTTTTGGAAACTCAAGGCCCTTCCCTCCTGGTCTATGTTTCCTTTCTCCTCCCATCTAAGAGAAATTATTGTCCCCTTTGCCACTCATTCACATTCCTCTGTCCCTCTCCCTGCCCATGGCCTCTGGGTCACAGGCCCCCTTTGTCTGTTAGAGGATTGCTACCAGGTCCTTGCTAAACTCCCTGTGCTCCTGGCTCTTGTTTCCACTCATTTCACCCACAATTATCAGATTTCCTCGGCACAATCCTCATCATCTCACACCCCTGCCCTTTATAACTTCCTTTAACTCTCCGCAATCCAGGCCCCTTGGCCTGGCTCTATGAGCCCTTTTGACGTTGACCCCAAGCTGCCCTGTCCCAGTCCCAACTGCACCCCTTTGTGAGTTAACCCTCTTCTCCCCTAGTCAGATGACTGACTCCACAGGAAGTCTCCTCGATGATTCTGTTACCATGGCTTTCCTCATTCTTAACAGTCCTAGTTCAAATGTCCATATCCTGAGAAAAACATCCTTGACTTTTTCTCTAGGAATTCTTGCTTTTTCTTTAAAGTTGCCATGAGAGTCCTTTGCCATTTGTTTGGAACTATTTAAACAAGTGTTTTTTACTGCATTACTGATTAGCCTGGTTTCTGATCTATGACACCCTCAAGTCAGTCTGTGTTCCCTACACTGTGGTTTGACACCAAGACTGGAAACAATCAAAGTCTCTAGGACCTTTGGAGCCGAAGGAATTAGAGTGAATTGCATTTTTGACTGGTTCAGAACTCCACCTGGGGCTTCATGCTGCTGATCCAAGAGACACCCATGCCCACTGAGTCTAAGCAGACAAGCACTCTGCCTGGCATGGCAAAACCCCCGCCACATGGAGAAGCCATACTTTTCAAACTTTTTGAGGAAATCCTCTATGAATCCATAGGTGAAAATCCAGTTGTTGTCTACACTTCCTGACCTGAAAATGAAAAAGCAATGAATAGTGTATATTTTTGAGTTGGCAGTGTTTCTCTCTGAAACCATCCAACAAGCTACTCCTACCCCACAAAGCTGCCGCACACTATCAGCAACCCCAGTGGGTCTTCCTGGTGTGGACTTCCATCAGTGTAATGGGAGGGACGGCACCAATGGGATTTGTGTGCTTGCCACTGAGGGATTCAAGAATGAGACCCTATGAGGCAATGAGGGTGGTTGGTTATGCGCACACTAGCTCTAGATAAGACATGAAGCAGGATGCATTTCTGCAATATCGTCCTGCATTCTGTAACTCTGACTCTCCTAGTCCTCCATGTCCTTGGAGAATAACCATGGCCAGTTCTCTGCCCCTTTCTTACCACTGAAAAGGCATGTGCTGATGAATGGTGAGCATGGGTCTTTGCCACCACTTCTCAACATAAAGCTCTTTGCTTGTCCTCTCCACAGCCTCCCTGAGGCTGTATGTAAACCTGCCAACACGTGATGGGACAAGTAAGGAGAGATGTGAATCACAGTGCTAAGATTGCCACTCTTTGAACATTTATGTCTCTAAGCCAGAGCAAATGTATGAATATTATGATTCCCATTTATACACGAGGAAACTGAGGTTCTTACAGGTTTTGCAATTTGCTACAATTTTCATGACTGGCATGGATCTAAATTCTGACCTACTGTCAAATCCAAGCTCTTCCTATTGCACTTGGCTGTGACACTTCCTAGTGACAGTGTGAACTGCTGTGGCAGAGGATGCTGCAAAGCTCTGATAACTGACCTATTGTCTTAGAAGCTCTCATGTGAAACTGCATGACTACTTCTTTCCTAACTGGTAGTAGCACTTTCTACTTTTCTTCTATTACTCCTCTATTTTTCCTCTGAGTAAAATGATTTTCCAAAGAATGAATAAAGGAAAAAGAATCTTCAATCTCACTACCTACTCTGGGAAAGTTTCTTTTTTTTCCTAAGATTTATTTATTTATACAAGCACTGGGTACAGTCAGAAGAGCGGGAGGGCGAGAGAATTCACCAGAGCCAGAGCAGGGAGCAGAACAGGCAGAAGGACCGAAGTACACTGCTGAGGGGAGCAGATGGCATGGCAGGAGAGGTTTGCACGCCATGTGGGACCCTCGCTGAGGGCCGGGGATTGAACCGGCGTGCAGAGGCTGCCGGCAGCTTCACAGCCAGCACTCAACCGCTGCACCACCAGGGGAGGCCCACCCTGGGAAAGGTTTTGTGTGTAGTAATATTGGAGGAAAGTCTCAATTCCAGAAACATAAACTGAGTACTGAAAGGTAGTGAAAAATATCATAACAACTTACAGGTGCCTGGGAAGGTGAGTAGGCAAGGAACAACCACAGAGACTCTCACACAGAGCTCTAAACCTGCTTTAGCATTCTGCTCTTTAATGAAGATAGAGATCATCATACATTTGAGATGCTACTATTATAATCCTAAGGACAAAAATTCTAGTGATTTAACTGCTGAACAAATGAAAAGTGTAGGGAAGAGCTGTATAGGGGAACATAGTCACTGGAAACCTACAATCTCTTCTCTCACAGGAGAGAAGTGGCTATTGTGTGACATCAAGCAGTAAGAAACAAGTCAGTACAAGCCTGTTACTAGAAACAAAGTCATAATACTGGACAAAAAATCTGGAAGATTTGCAGTGCTGTCTCTGAAGAGTGGGCCAGAAGTGGAGAAGGTGGTAAAGAAGCCTCATGTTTATTGCTGGGAACATTGTAATATTGTTTGATTTTAAATTTGTGTTCATGCTTTTACTTGATAACTGTTAAAATTACAAACAAATACTAGTAGCATGGTGGGATGATAACAAAAAGGCAGATTTCAAAGCTCCAAATCCTGGTTTCCCCAAAGAAACATTAAACAAACAACCCAGGCTAGAAACGGAAGCAGAATGTACATGATGAAAGCCAATCTGCAAATGAAGGCAGAACAGAAGGGGGAAAAAAAAGCTGGAATGTAAATATATCACATTTAGGAAATAATAAGTTGTCAGTACCAAGTTCTTACATATCAATAATCTCTCCAAATTTAAATATATTGAATTCATCAAGCAAAAATAGCAGTGTGGGTAGGTGGACAAAAATAAGGCCAGTTATGTATATATTGCCTACAGATATACATTTCACTTAAAGACAATCAGATTCAATGTGAATGGATGAAAGAAAGTAATGTGTGCAGGGGAAATAAAAAAATATTAGGGGGCTCCCCGGTGGCTCAGTGGTTGAGCGCTGGGTTGCCAAGCTGCCCGTGGCCTCTGTGGCGCCGGTTTGATCCCCGGCTGCTCCCCCGCCACCGGAGGAGGGTCCCGCATGATGCACAGACCTCTCCTGCCGCCCGCTGCTCCCCTCAGCAGTGTACTTCGGTCCTTCTGCCTGTTCTGCTCTCCACTCTGGCTCTGGTGAATTCTCTCACCCTCCCGCGCTTCTGACTGTACCCAGTGCTTGTATAAATAAATAAATAAATCTTTAAAAAAAATTAGCAAGTCATTATAGACAAGGTGGATGTTAAGTCACAAATGCTCACAAGAGTCAAAGTTATTACATAGTGACAGTGAGGTCATCACATCCCAAAGATACAAAATGTGCCCCCAGCATCTGTGCACATAAATATAACAGGTCCGAAGGGAGGGAAAAAAAAGTATTTGTAGAACGCTTCAATACCTGCTTTTTCAACAGTGGATAAGTCATCCTGAGAGCCTCTGGGCTACTGCCTTCAGCCTGGGACCCGCACCCCTCCCAGGAGATGGCAGATACCTTCCCTGCTCTCCCCCAGGCCTGTCTGAGGATGGCCACAGTGCAGGGAAATGATAGGGTGCTTCCATGAGATCACCAACGTCATACCACGGCTGCTGCTGAAGAGGTGAAGTTGTTTCTCAGCCCAACAGCGGAGCTGGAAATGACTAAGCCATGTCTCCAAGCCAATGCCCTGTGCCTCCTTTCCTTCAAGGCCACAGAGACTTGAAACAGAGCCCAGCTTTCTCAGGACCACACCCAGAGATCCAAGCGTTCAGGAAATACATAGACTGTGAATGAAAGTTGCCAAAAACTTAGATAGCAAAGCAGAGGACTTTCTCAGCAGTGACACTCTGAGAAGGCCCAGAGACAACTCTGCAGTCTTTCTGGAGTCCAGTGAAAATGGATTCATTTGGGTGAGAAACAAAGCGTGAATTTATAACCAAAAAACGGAGGACATTATTAGCAAGTGCTGAGAAAGGCGCTCCAGTAATCACCTGCATTCCAGGGGCTATTGGGCCTGCAGGTCACAGATGCAGGCCATTTGGCAGTGGTGGGCATGGGCTTTATTCTTTCCCAAATGAAAAGCCTCAAGGAAGGAAGGCCGGGCATCCTTCTGCCTCAGGAGCAAGGAGGCCACCAAGGTCTGTATTTGCACCTGAGCAGGACTCGACACTTACTCTGCCCTCACACAAACTGGGTTCCCTTGGCCACGTCTGTCTCTATCGTATCCTGAGACAGCGGCCCCCCAAGTCTCTGGCCAAAGTAGGAGATCCACTCACTTGTCTATTATTAAGTAGAGGTCAAGGTTGCTCTGGCAGGATTTCTTTTCATCTGCCAGCCTCTCCTCGGACCCAGTTTCCTGGTTGCTCTCCCCTTCCAGGTTGATATTGTGGTGGTTTCTTTGGAGGTTCTTGGTATCTCCCGAGGCCGAGACTCTTGGCAGCAGAGGGGACAGTACCAGCAGAAGGAAAAATGCAAGCCCAGGCATCCCGGGCCAACTGCTTCCCATTTTCTGCGCAGCCCTGAGGCTGCAAGGGACACTAATCTCTGCTCTGGGGACAGAGTAGGACTGATTCTGGGTGGAGGCCCCACTGCCTGCCAGGGTGTCTCCCTGACCCATAGAGACATAATGCCCTGTGTTGTGATGGACAGGGAGGTTGGCATGGCGACCCTGTGGTCTGTAGCTGGGCTCACTCTCTTGCCTACTGACATTCCCAGAGGGGGAGTCATGGCCTCTTTGAAGGGGCTGTGAGAGGAACCTCCCTTTGTCCCTTATCCTGAGCCCTCGCTGATGGCCATTATAATCTTCCAGGAAGCTGAGTCTTTGCAAACTGCCAGAGCAGTTGGGGTGGTTCAGACAAGGACATCGCTGTGGGGGAGGGGGTCACGGCTGGGAGACCAGAGTGCTTTAATGGCCAAGTGAGTGAACACTGACATCTTCTAGGAGATGGGAGGATCTAGAAGTTGAAGAAAGTGGTGCAATTTTGTTTGTGAAGGAGGGCTTCCACTTACCCACTGACGTGAATCAACCACCCCAAATTTACTAAGTCAAAGAAGAAGCACTTTACCATGCTCATAGTTTGCATGGACCAGAAATTGAGAGAGAACTGTACTGCTGTGTTTGCTCCATGGAAATCATCCGAACCCCCTGAACTTTTAAATTTAGAAGCAGCAACCTATCTCCAGATGTAAACCTTCATAATATTTGATTACAATCATATGGATATGGGGACCCATTGGAGGAATATGACTCTACAATCCAGACTCCCCTATCAGTAACAAGGCAGTGTCGCCAGTAGTTAGGTGTTCAATGAAATTTCCTGAAATTTCCCCAAGAGAAATTGATCTCTTTTGTCAAGTACTTTTTCTGAATGCCTTATCATTTTGCTGCCATTGTTAATGATGTTTTAAAAGTAAGTTTTTAAAGTTTATTGATAGCACAAAGAAATTATTTATTTTTATGTATTTAACCAATTTGCTAAAATCTCTTGATCTAAAACATTTTCTGTAAAATTGTTTGGGGGAAAGTGAGAATTGGGGAGTAAATGAGGGAGGTGGACAGAATGGACTATGGTGGAGGACTGTGGGTGCCTTGGTGGCGGGTGTGGTGTGATCACATATTTCTGAAGAGGTTCAACCTATACTCCTAAATCATACGTAGTGTGGTAAACCAATGTCACCCCAAAAAAGCAAAAAAAAGCAAAAAAGCAAAAAAAAATTTTTGATAATTAAAGATTTTCTAATTGTGTGATTCTGCCTTTCTCAACACTGACACGCAGGCCCTCTCCATCCCTGTCTTCAGGGCTGCCCCTGGGCTGGATGTGTCTGAGAAGCACAGACCCTGGCACTCCTGAAGCGCACATTTTCCTCAGACCTCTCACCCTGGGACCTTTGTCGCCCCGGCTCTAGGACCAGGAGGACAAGGCAGTGGGCTCTTGCCCTTAGGAAGAGAAAGCTTTGTAATCTTCCTTGTCTACCATTCCAGGGTGCAGACACATGATGTGTTGCCCCGCACCTGTCAATTTCGCCCCTCAGCTAAGGCTTGTTGGGAGAATTCAAGGACAACTGAGTAAGCAGCACCCTGTAGTGTTCAGGAGGGCCCCCCAAGGGAAACACAAGCAACCTCTACATAGTTTGCAAAGATGATCCTTCCCCAAAAGGACAAGTTCTCTCCTGCCCCCTGGGTTCCCTGGGGCTGCCTTCTGGAGAAGCCTGGTCTTGGGGCTGTGCAATGTAAAGGTGGACATGGGGGAGGAGCATCAGCAGAGGCTGATTGGCCTGGTGTTGGCAGATGCTGCCTCCCTGAACACACTGCAGCGGCACAGAGGCCAGCCTCTGAGTGAGGTCTGTTTCCAGGGTCTCTCCCATAAAGGGACAGAGGGGCCCTGCTGTGCATATCTATGGGTTCTGATTGGTGTTCCACCTGGGTGAGCCACAGGCAGCTCAGCTGACCCTTGGTCCCTGGTGTACCGTGGCTGGGCCTCCCTCACAGCTCATGCCAGGTAACACACCTTCCACGCTATTCAGCCCTAAACTCCCCAAATGACAAACCCAGTCAATCCCCCATCCTGCCAAGAGACAGGGACAATCCCAAGAAATTCAACCCAACAGGATCAGAGTGCAGGGGGGGTGACCAATACTGGAACCCTGAGGTTCCTTTTCCAAATGCTCACTTAACCCAGGGAAGGACCGGCCAATGATCAATCTTTAGGAACTGACAAAAACAAAAATAAAGCCCTGTTCATGTCACTGTGTATCATGCAGTTGTTGAAACAGGCTCCTGCTATTTGATAATGTGATGGAGGTTCTGGATCAGACTGTTGGGAGCCTGGAGAGGGTGTTGTCGGAGATATGTGTGAGTCCAAGATCCTCCCAGATAGATCAATCCCTGCCCCTCTGTCTCCCTGCTTTCTGAGGATTTTAAAATGAGTGTGCAGTTTCATGCATGTGTGGGTCATGTGTGTGTATATCTTTGTGAATGTTTGCTCAAGATTTTTGTCCATTTTTAACAGAATTTACTATTGAGTTGTAGAAAATCTTTTCCAGTCGTGTTCAGACTCACTTGACAAAATCTTGTGTGAGTTTTAGGTGTAGGTCTGCTGATTTGATGTACTTAAGTAATGCAAAATGCTTATCACCATGGGGCTAGCTAACCTCCATCCCAACACATAATTACCTATTTTTTTTTTTTTGTGGTGAGACAATTTAAGATTTATTCTTTCAGCGATTTTCCTGTTCATAACAGTAGCATTAACTATAATCACCTAAGCTGACATTTAGCCTTTCAACCACAAAAGGGCACTCTGAGAGCAGGTTTTATACCAGCTGGTGCAGGCTGCTGCAGGGATGTGATGCTATAGACCTGCAGCCTGTACAAATGTGGTATCATCTCTCTGGCTGCAGATGGAGGCTTTGCAGGTCACATGTGGTCACCTGGAGGGGTGAGGAGGCTGGAACAGTGGCAGCCACCAAGATGCAAAAGAATTCACCCCAGATGGTCTATTTCCTTAGGATACAAACCTGGAAATGGGGCCGAGAGTGGTATAAAACAGACGAGGCAGAGGAGGAGGAACTGAAGGTAAAGAAACACCGGGACAGGCATCCCTAGGTCAACAGACCCTGACCAGATTGGTACAGAGAGGCGTGGGGTCTTGCCAGAGTCTGGCATCTGTGGTCAGTCAATGTGTCCCGGTTGGGGGGATGATAATCTACATCCCAGGAGAACAGGGAAGAACTTAAGTGACACCTCACTTTCAGTTAGGTTAACTCGTGATTTGTGGTGAGATAGAGGTAGGGGTGGGGAATACATCTGTGAGGAGTGACAGACAGGTGTGTGTGTATGGTGGCAAGGGGATAGTATGGTCCACCCAGTGTCAACCTGGTCACCCCAGCAATAAGGAAGAGGGAGAAACACCAGGGACAGCAGAAACACTGAGTCTGGAGCAGAAGACCTGGACACAAACTGTGGCCTTGGGGAGGAGCTGATTGGACCAGACAGAGTGAGGGAACATGTCCAGTTAGGACTGAGTGTCACGTACCCCAGGGGGTCAGATCTGGGAGACACCGATGGCAGTCCAATTCCAGAGCACACCACAGCAGTGTTGCAATCCCTGATCTCTAATCTGGGGACCCCAGGAATGCTCGAGGGCCAGCGTAGAGTGAGGAATGGACTGGCAGGAGGACAGAGGTAATGCCAGGACATTGGGACACAGAAAGGGCCAAATTCAGCCAATACCATGAGGGAATGTCTATGGCGCCTTGGAAGTCTCTAGAACCTCTGGTTCATTCTAGGACTTACAGTTAAAATAATTAACTATTTGTGGGCTGAGGCTGGGTGCTGTGGAAATCTATCTCCTTACTACAAGAACAGAGATGCAGGCTAGATGATAGGATGTGACAGATGATATAGGCTGTGACTGCAACTTGTGCTGCCTTTCTTCCTTGCTAAGACAATCCTGATTTTGCCCACATGTTTATCCCTCAGCAAGGTGACTCTCCCCTACTCCGGTTAAACCCAAGAGAGGCCAAGCCGAACCTTGGGGCCCTGTCAGCATGAAACTAACACTGGCGGGCATGGGCCTGGTGTGGCTAGTGCCCGTGTGCCCTGCTGGACCCTGGCCAGAGTTGGGAGCTCCTCTAAAGGACCCAAGCAGGGATGGACTCTGCTGGGCTTGGCAGTGCGGTGCCAGAACTTGAAACAGGGCCGGGTGCCAAGGAGGTGCCAGAGAGTTGAGAGAAGCTGCCTTCTGCCTTTACATAGTTTCAGGACTATTTTTGTTCAGGTGGACACAGTAGGTTTCCTTCCTCTGGGGAATCTTTGAGGCCCAGAGCATCTTCTCAGAGACAGAGATGATGAGGATTGGCTGAGCGCCACAGGCCTGGGAGGTCTTCTCGCCCCAAAGTCTGTGCTGTTGGTAGTTGTGTCATTCACTGAGCCGCTCACATCATCCATGCTGCCCTGGGAATAGAAGAACAGACTCTGCGTGCAAGATGGTGCCCAGAGAAGCCTGGGAGCCGGGCAGGAAGGCAGGCAGGGCTCTGCTAGCTGCAAGCTGGCTATCCTCTACCCACCTCAATCTTCTCATCTGTAAGATGAGAGGAAGGGCTACCTCATAGGGAGCTGGGGGATTCAAGGAGCTTAGGTAAGCATGTACCTGGCATGAAGGACCTACTCAGTGAGGGAGTTCTCCTGAACTTCTGGGGTCCCTTATGTGGCTATGTCAGGAGAGGTGTAGGGGGCTCAGCCATGAGGACCCCCAACCACACTGAGGCATCACCTCTGAACCCAGGCCACTGGGGCTGGCTTAGCCCCAAGCAGACCCTTCCCCTCCTCACCTCCCAGCAGCTCTGAACAAGAACTGATCTCTGGGGTGGAGCTGTTGGGGTTGCCCAGACAAGGAACTCTGAAGAGCTAGGGCTGATCCCTGCAGGAGGCACACCAGGATCCTCTCCAGGTAGCCGCTCGTGCCTGCCTGAATGTCTTCCTCCAGGCTGGACCCGTATTCTGCAGGGGACAGGATCAGGCAGCTTGGACCAGCTTTCGTCCTCCTAGTACTGCTTCCCTCACGTCTCTCAATTAGTCTTCTAGGAAGGATGAGTCCCTGGCATGGGGAGTGGATGCAGCGCCCCACTGGACCCTCAGTCCTGACTTTCTCCACCACCATGCAAAGAATGGTTCCTCAGGTGGGAGGGCACAAGTAGCTCCAATAGGAGGACTGTGTGCCCAGGCCAGACAGGAAGCCCCACCTGCATCTCCAGGAGTGGGAAAGTGAAGGCACTTCTGGTCTGAGAACAGGATGATATCCCAGGGGCAGGGAAAGAGCTCCTGGATGGGGCGGTGCAGTGAAGGTGAAGGAGCACAGTGAGAAAATGGGCAGAGAGGCTTGTAGGTAATAGAGACGCAGAGGGTGTCTGTGGGCAGACATAAGTAAGTTTTCCACTAAAACACAAGAGAACTAGTTTATTTTAGAGCAGAAGGAGCTACGGGGGTTTTGGTGCTGAAGGTAATCGGGAATCAGCAGCAATGGTTTATTGGGGTTCAGGGCACCACACATTGATTTCTGGTTGTCTTTGGAAGATCCTGTCTGTGCTTAGTTTTCCCTCCTGCAACCTTCTTGGGTCCTTTTTGTGGAAGTTCCCGAGACTGGGGAGATGTCCCTGGGGCGGTGGGAGCTTGGGAGAAGAAGGGCACTGCAGGGTATGAGGGAAAGTGGGAATGGCTCAGCCTCCCACAGGAGGAGGCTTTGTGGGGTTGGGCAGGACTATGGGGGCCCTGCATCCTGAGCAGGGCTGTGACTGGGGCCAGGCACTGGGAGGTGTCAGCTGTGCAGGGAATCTGCTTGACAAGTGAGGAAGGTCAGGACACCGAGACCCCACCGGCCTGCATGTGAGCAGTTGCTGGTTTCTTTCTGGCTCTCCCAGACTACCATGTCTCCTCTACTGAGAGGGCCTCAGTTAATAAAGTGGCACCAGTGAGACCACAGCTTGCAGGAAGAAGCCTCAAAAAGTCTCCCATCCCTCTCCCTGCCCTGGGGTGTGGACCCTGGATTAGGCCGGGGCTATCCTGGCCAAGATCACTTGAGGGCAGGCTATAGTCCAGATCATCCCCAACTTCTGCACCTTGGGCAGCAAACATCCCACCCAATGCTACTAGGATAATGAGCAAGTGAGGAGTGCAGGGAGCTGAAAAGGCTGCCTTGAGAGCATGAACATGAGGTTGAGAAGGTGGGCGAGATTTGCGCTCCCATGTCCTCTTCTTGCCCTGTCTGCATTGTAAGTTGTTGGCTCCTTCTCACAAACTGTGAGAAGAACAAGGATCAGGAGTCCTTGCTGTTGGGTGGGTTGTCCTGGGGATTTTGAGGTTCCCTAGTTAATAGTAGTCCCTGAACTAGGAGCAGTGTCAGCCAGGTGCCCAAGATGGCAGAGAAGGAGGAGATAGTGATTTGGGAGAAGGGCAGGGGAGTGGCAGGCGTCCTCCCTGGCTCCCTGAAGGCTGCAGACCACATACTGGGCAGGGTGGGCACTGGCAGAGGGTGGGGAGGGGCCAGTCTTTCAGCACAGAGCTGGGCGCCCCATCTGTGGGTCTGCTGCTCATAACACAAGCTTGGGTGGGAGGCTGTGAGCTGGAAAAATGTCTGGTTTCCTCCACCCATTTTAAGGAGTGATGGATTAACTGTAGGGTTCCAGCTTTCTAGAAAGTAGGAAGATCAAGTATACACAATATCCCAAAAGGTGATTTTGGGATCCCCAACTCTCCGAGTACTCTGTCATTTTCCCAGGTTTAAACAGAACATCTCCAGAGTCCGGAAAGGGGGCTATAACTTCCATGAGACAGCGTGATGGCGAAGGTGGTACGTGATGGCTGTGCTGTCAAGTGAAGGGTGAAACAGAAAGCTCATCATATGTTTGTTCTGTTAACACTGATGTTTTAAGATGGAATTTTAATTTGGGCCAGTAAATAAAAAAGTTCTCAGCTCCATCTCCTGGAACAATGCACTACTCTGTGACATAAACCAAACCAAACTTTGGCCAGGACCTCACAGTGCATGAAGAGTGTCAGGAGGAGAGTAGGGGGTTGCTGCTGGTTCAGGCTATGCACCTGCCTTTGCTCATGAAGGGAGTCTCTGAATGGGGTCAAATTGAAAGTACTGAGCTCTCCCTTCCCCACATAATTCTAGCACCTTCTATGTGGCCTCCATTTTAAGTTGGCTTATTTCTCTGAAGTCCCTTGCGCCTTGGTGTTTAAACAGCTGGGGAGATGAGCTGGCAGGAAGGGAACAGCCCATGAGGGGCAGATCCTCTCCCTCCCTCTCCTGTGTCGGTCATGGGGGAGTCCGCCTGTCACCTGTCAGAGTGGTCAGGGTGGGGTTGACAAGGAGCAGGAACTCCAGGTATAAATGCTTTCAAGGCTAAAAGTCATGTGACTTAGTGTTTTCCTGCAAATCTATCCACATGCACTTACACAATCCATGGCATAAATTCTTTAATTCAAACATGGGCAAAGTTATTCATCGCTAACCATCCACTTGATCAATACAGAATAAAAACCCAAACCTGACATATTTCTCCCTTTACCTGTCTGAGAGAAATTCAACTGAAACATAAATATAGCATTTCAAGGATATTGGGGTGAGGCAGACAGCAGTTTAGATCACTATCAGTGTGCCTCTGGGACAGCTCACTGTGGTTCACTTGGGGTACCCACCATCCAGGGCTCATGGGTTCCTCATGGGGTTCCTTGGGTGGTGAGGCTGCAGGTGGGGCAGTGCCCGGATGCCCTGTGCTGGGCAGAGTGCCAGGACAGTTGGCTAAATCACTGTCAGGATACATAGTGGCAAATGTGGGAGATTCACCTTCTCTTAGGGAAATGGAGAGAATCCTCGAAAATCCTACTGGGCTGAGGGGCAGTTTGGGGTATTTTTTTTTTTAAGATTAATTTTTTTCTTTATACAAGAGCTGGGGTACAGGCCAGAGTCGTGGGAGGGTTCACCAGAGTCAGAGCAGGAAGCGGAACAGGCAGACGGACCGAAGGCCCTGCTGAGGGGGCAGCGGGCGAGACGGGATATTCTGCCTCGCCATGTGGGATTCTCCCTGGCCAGCTGGGAATCAAACTGGCGCTGAGGAGGCTGCAGACAGCTTCACAGTGTGGCGCTCAACCTGCTGCGCCACCAGAGAGGCCCAGTTTGGGGTATTTTAAAGACAGGTTGGACTTTTAGTGGGTGAACTTGAGAGGGTCTTGTCTCTTTCTATGAGGTATCCGGAAAGTGGTAATCAGAAAATGAAAAGAAAATGGGAGTGAGGGAGGTGAGACAGTCAGGTACTTCTCTCCGTAAAGTCAGGTACTTCTCTCCTGCCTTTGGGAGGGGACAGGACTGTATTGTCTTTCAAAGACATCCTGGCTTTTTGCAAAGAGCAGAATTTAGCTAAAACCCAATGTGTCCCAGCCCTTGGTGACGGATGAAGACCAGGCTGTGGGGGGACTCATCCGTGTGCACAGCCAAGGACAGAAGGGTGCTCTGTCCTGGCAGGAACAGCGTGGCCACTTCCCGCACAGTGGACAGGGTTCACCAGGGATCCACTTCTCCTGCGGATCAACTCCTGTCGCTGTAAACCAAGACTCAACTCGCGTGTCTAGTGCAGTACACAAAGACCTTACTCTACGCTTTGGAGACGTAACACTAGGCTGCGGGGCCGGGGGTGACAGAGGGCCCGCACCGCATGTTCCCACAGCGGCAGGGATCACTGGGAATATCCCGGAGGGCCGATGGAGCAGGCGAATTGTGGGGGCTGGGAGCATGAGAGTTGGGGAGGTGGGCACGGGGCATATGGGCAACGAGACCAGCTGCAGTTGAAGGGAAAGCACGCCGGGCCGGGCATCTTCCCCCGTGGGGACCTGAATAAGGAGCACGTCTGTGGGAAGAGAAGAGAGAGGTCAGTGAGAAGCCACTGCAATTGGGAACAGAAACTTGTGGTTTCCTTGGCCCTGGGGCTGGACCCTCAGGCTGGACCTCTGAGGACGCCCTTCCTCTGCCTGGGGGCTCCTCCTGTCTGGGCTCCTGTCTGAGACTGTTCAGGAGTCGGGGTGAGCCCAGCCTTCCCAGCTCCAGGGCTCGGACATTGAACTCCTTTCGCTCGGATGTTGACTGTATCTGCTTCCCCTGCCTGGGAGCCTGGAGAACAAGGACAAGTCCTGACTAAATGAAGGCCCCAGAGTCCCCCAGGCTTCCAGGTGTGTGCTGAGGGGTGTGTCTCCATCACAGCCAGGAGGGGCTCCGCATGGGGGGCAGCAGCTGACCCATGGCCCTGGTGCTGGGTGGGGATGGAGGCACGAAGCCTCCCCAACTGACTCCGGGCTTTTTATTTAAATTTTGAAGTGCTGGGTAATGTTCTAGATTTGTCTCCTGCCATCCTTGAGTTGAAAATGAAGGAAAACTCATGGTCCCTGTCTAGAATCAGCTGGGAGGCTCCTGGGCACCACGTTCCTCTCTTAGACTTTCTTCGTGACACATGCCTGGACCCACAGTCCCAGAGGGCAGCTGTCAAGTGCAAAAAGCAAATGGCCTTGTCCTTGCGGAGCATCCCTGTGCCCTGCTTACCTTGCGTCTGGGCTGACACCACATCCTTGGGCACCGGTTGCGCTTTTGAAAAAAGTTGCCCATGATCTGCATGCCCAGCATATCCAGTTTGTTCTGAAAAACAAAGGAGCCTGTAAGGAAGCTCTGAGCTGGCTGATGCTCCAGCGGGACAGTGTCCCCTTCGGTTCCCAAAGTACCTGAGCTTTGTCTCTACAAACTCCCTTGGATAGGATTAAGGCCTCTACTTGTGGCAAAGGGCATGTTTTGGGGGGTGAGGGTGTGAGTCAGGGATTGTTTAGGGATCAGAACAAATTAGTGTTTTCTGAGGACAAGGCAGGAGCTACTAGCAGAGTTAAAGTACAAGGCTGGAGGAGATAAACGGTGTCTTGGAGAGGAACATGAGTTGCCTGCGGGGTACCTGGGAAGGAGCTAGAAAGAAGGGAGGGGGAGGCCTGCACTCATGAGGCCAACCAGGGAAGGCAGGGAAGAGGCTCCATGCCCTGAGAGTGTGCTGGGTCCTGCTGATGGAGGGTGGAGATAAGAGGAGGCTCAGGACAGACCGAGAGTGACCTGGATCCCTGGTGGGGTATCCCAGGGGAGCTCTGGACCCTGCGGTCCAGCTCTGTCCTGGTGCTTTCAGAGGGGGAGCCATGTCCTGTGAATGGGAACGAGCCCTTGGTCAGGGCTTCCTCCTCTCTGGAAGGTGTGTTGGGCACCGCTGTGTCGCACACTGAGTGGAAGGCAGGGCTGTCTCTCCTGGTGTCATAGAAGCTCCTGGAGGAAGCCATGGCTCCAAGCAGGATGGAGCAGGACCAGGAGGAGGGGCAAAGCCAGGCAGAAATTGTGGGCTCTTTCTTCCTCCACCCCAGCCATCTGGACTCTATTCTGTGCTGGGGCCCCAGTGTGGGATGTGTCTCAGCTGGGCGGGCCCAGCTCTTCCTGGGGAAGGACATTCTCTTCAGGACCCTCTTCCATGGGACCCTGGTCACCCCAGCTGAGGGCAGGAGGACAAGGCAGCGGCTCCTTCCCTCCCTCTGCTGAGCTGGCTTCTGGAGGTGGCAGGTGCACCAGCATTTCCACTTAATGGGAACTTGACGCAGAAATTCCTTCTTTTATTTTCTGACCTTCATGAACCTTGTGATTTTGTTGTAACTCACACTTACTGCCCAGGGAGCCCAATACATTGTTGGGGCTGATGAGAACCTCTGTGTAGTCACAGATTCCATGAAAGTGGGTCTAGGGAGTAGAGATCCTGGTACCTGAGCAAAGTGAGCAAGGCTCAGTGCCCTGAACACTCAATTCACCCAAGCCACACTTTCTGGGCCCAACCTCTCTATTTCTCTCCGTCTGAGCCTGGGCCACAGCACCCTCCCCAAGGGCCCATCTCACCTCTAGTTGTTTTAGGTTGCCGTCTGCACCACTAGGGACCACCACCGTGGGGGGGCATGTTGGTACACACGTTTGCTAGGAAGAGAAAGCTCTTTTGCGGCATTTCTGGGGTGCAGACACACGAGGTGTTGCCCCAGCACCTGTCAACTTCTGGCCCCTCAGCTAAGCCTTGTTAGTAAGATTCAAAGATAACTGAGTAAGAGCACCCTGTACTGTAAGGGAGGCCTTCCGTGGGAAGCACAACTTCTACATAGTTTGCAAGGATGACCCTTCCCCAAAAGATTAGCAAATTCTCTCCCGCCCCCTGGGTTCCTTGGAGCTGCCTGTTGAAGAAGCCTGGTCTTGGGGCTGTGCAATGTAAAGTTGGACATTGGAAGGAGCATCAGCAGAGGCTGATCGGCCTGGTGTTGGCAGATGCAGCCTCCCTGAACACACTGCAGCAGCACTGAGGCCAGCCTCTGAGTGGGTCCTTCTTCCTAGGTCTCCCCGTTACAGGTCACAGTGGCCCTGCTGTGCATATTCTATGGGTTCTAATTGGGTGAGCCACAGCCAGCTCAGCTGTCCCTTAGCCCTGGTTTACCTGTGCTGGCCTCCCTCACAGCCAATGCCAGGTAAAACTCCCTGCACCCTCCTCAGCCCTGAAGCCCTTAAAGGACAAACCCAGTCAATCCACAACCTGCCAGGAGACAGGGCAAACCGAAGGAAATGAAAGCCAACAGGATTAGAGTGCAGGAGGGTGACCAGGACTGGAACCCCGAGGTTCCTTTTCCAAATGCTCACTTAAGCCAGGGAAGGACCAGCCAATGAGTGATCTTTGGGAACTGACAAAAACAAAAACAAAGTCTGTTCACGTCACTGTGGGTCATGGCTCTTGCTGAAACAGGGCACTGCTGTTTGGTAATGTGATGGAGGTTCTGGATCACACTGCTGGGAGCCTGGAGAGGGTGTTTTTTGTATGTCTTTTTGTGAGTCCTAGGTGCTCCCAGCGGTATCCTCTGCCCCTCTGTCACCCTGCTTTCTTCTAGCGCTCTCTGTCCAGGTAGATGGAGATGTTGGCGTGGGGAGTGGAAATATCCCACAGCTCAGGAGGCCTCTTGTGAAGATCTATGTGGGCATCAGGAATAAAAACACAACTCACCTCTGGCTCCTTGTTCTAGAAAGTGAAAGAGACAAAGACAGGGTGAAAGGGCTGTGCAGGGCTCTGGCTGGTCCACACAGGCAGGAAGGGACTCTGCTCAGCGGGAGTGAGGGAGAACATGGTTGGGTGTCACTCTGGGTACACACCCCAGTGGATTGGTGGCCAGCAGGCTGCATGTCCCTGAGACCTGACTCCTCAGTTACCGAGGGCACGTGGTACCTTCCAGTCACCGCTCGCTCCTGGCTGCTGCTGTGCCTTTCCCTCTGCTTCTCCCCCTCTCTCCATCCAGCACAGTCCTTGATGCCGCCACCAAGCCCTGCTGCCTCCCTCCTCCTGGCTGGGCTGTCCTCTGCTATTGCTCTCTTTCATCAGGGCATGTGGTCCCCAGAAGGTGGCATTGTGTGTTCCACCTCATGCCCGCCCAGGCACAAACACTCCCCAGACCCCAGACTGCAGCTGCTGTGGACAGGCTAGCAGCGGCTTCCTTTCTGTCCCTTGTGCCCAGTATGGGCAGCACCCTGTGGCACTCAGAAAGAAGATGGAGGGAGGTGGAAGGAGCACTGGGAATGGGCAGATACCACGCTGGTTTCTAAAGCTCAGCAGCACAGAGGTTGGGTATCCTGCTCATTCTGTGGCCACTGCAGGGTCCCTGCTCTTCCCTCAACAGTAGTTTCCTCCTCCCAGCCTCTTGTCCACCCGAGTGCTCAGAGCCTGGGGACCATGAGGTAGCCCTGCCTGGGATTCTGGGCCCTTCTTCCCAGGTACCACGCAGCCCATAGACCACAGGCTGTGCAAGCAAGAGGCAGGAAGCCCCTGCCAGGTTGTCTGTCTGCCCGGGAATGGAGGGCAGAGTCTGTGTCTCCCTTACTCCTGTGAAGACTGTGCACTGAGAGGAGCAGCAGAGACCATGGCAGCACATGACGGGTGCCTAGAGGTGGTGTCTGGGCTCAGGGAGGTGTGCAGGTTGGGCACTCACCCTACTGCTACGGAGTCGCCACCAACACCCGATTAGCACTGGCATTAAGATTATCAGCAGCAATGTAGCCAAGTGGTAAGGGTTGATATCGGGAAACTGTGAGCCTTGATTTGTGGAACCAGGCGTTCCCACATTGAGAACGAAAGGTGGCTGCAAAATAGGCAGAGAGCACACAGACCAGGAGTGTGGGCCTGGGGCCTCCCAGACACCCACTGCCGAGCATGCATTCTAGACTCTTGTCAGCCCCATCCCATTCTCCGCAGGTTGCCACCTGGGCGGAACACAGTACTAGATCTGACTGTGCTCAGCGCCCACCGAGGAGGTGGGGCACACCCGCCCCGCTGGCCATGCTCAGAGGCTCAGCCCAGAGGCCTGTCAAGGAAACCAGAATCCTTGAGCAGTGACCAGCCCAACCCCCACCCAAGCCCTGGCTGACAGTGCAGGGACACACAATTGCACACATACACAGATGGGTGTCTGGGGCGGGGGGTGGTGAGTTCCACTGAGAGGTGGGGGTGCCAGAGCAGAGCAGGAGACCCAGGTCCATTTTCATGAGGGCCTCCCTCTCTTGTAGGCTCTGTAGCTGTGGGCTGAGTGCCTCAATCTCTCTGCGTCTCCATGTCCACATGTGAGCAGCAGTTGAGAGGGTCGTGAGGTGTGGGGGGTCATCCAAGTCCTGGCACAGGCCCGGTCTGTGTGGCGCTGAAGGAACGGGCTGTCTTGGGCGTCATTCAGAAGCAAGGGTGAGTGGGTCTCCGGTGGGACCACACGCAGTCTCCTCTCAGAGCAGCAGGCAAGGGGGCGGGAGAGAGGACCGGTGCCCAGGGACCAGGGTGGCAGAGAGAACGGCAAGGTCAGGGCTGCTTACCTGCAGTCCCGGGATCTGCCCTGAGTTTCTCCTGAGGGCTTTCCTCATGGGCCTGATGACAGATGAGCTGTGCGTCGGTGGGACTCCTGAAGGGCTAATGTGCGTCCTCTGGCTGGTCTGAGCGGATGTGCAGACACAATGCAGATGACACAGAGGAGATGTCGGCACAGTGGGGACCCGCACAAGCAGGTACAAGACACCGGGCTCTTCCCAGCACACTCTTCTCCAGCCTAATGCTTGCCACTGCCATGCCTCGCTGCCATGGGCTAAGGTGCCCGGGTGGTGTGGGACTTGGGAAGAGCCTGTCACCTTCGTTTCCCGGTGTCCCTTGCTCAGATGACTCCTGTTCCCTCCCAGGGCCCTGATAGCTTCCCCACCAGCAGAGAAGAAAAACTTCCTGCAGCTGTAGGGAGAGCTGCAGCCAGGAAGAGCTGAGGAGTGTGGGGAAGGAGCAAGGAGAGTAGGGGCTAAAGGCATCTGAAAAATGACAGCCAATGTCCCCAGGGTCCCAGGGGCTGTGATGGTCACACACCGGGCACCAATGCAGAGGAAACGTACCCTGACTGTGCAGGGCCCAGCTGTCCCCTCCACATCCCCAGTGGAGAAGGCCCGGTGCCCAGATCCTGGATTCTGACTCCTTGCACAGTCTGGTTCCTAGCAACCCTCACTGACTCCCACTGGAATTAAGTTGGTGCCTCAGCTTCCCCAGGTTAGGGTTGCTGGCAAGGCAGTATTGAGCATGGGAAGAGCCTCAACACCATTTCAGGAATCTGCTTGGGTCTCTCATTTCTTCCTTGTATGTTCCTTCAATGACAGTGTTCAGAGAGCAGAGGGCATCTGTCATGCTAAGATGGCTGCAGCCCAGGGCTCCTAGAAGCCACCCAGACATGTACCTACTCTGATGAAGGGCGAAAGGCCTCATTGGTGGGAGATGCTGCCCAGTCCTGCCGGCACCTGCTACTTACTGGGCCTGTCCTGGGCACTCCAGGACAGGAGTTTTGGACTCTCTCTTCAGGGCAGGCTTCTGGGCAGCCAGAGGGAAACCATGTACCTACCCTGTGATCCCCACAGTCCTTGCTGCTGATCTTGAGCCCGTTGCTGATGAAGCTGGCACCGTTGTTCAGGCTCACTTCAACAGAGATCTCACTAAACACAGAAAGGACAGATGGTGACCACAGGTGCAGGTCTGCACAGTTCTTGGTTTCTGCTCAAACCATAGCCCACAGCTTTCCCTACTGTGATGACTTTGAACATCAGGCATTCGGGGCTACTGGAGGGCAGACGGCCTGGGGAGGAGACCCCACCCCAAGTCGCACGAGGTCCACCTTGGTGATGAGGATGACCAGTGATGGGCTCTGCACGGGGTCAGATGCTTTGTGGTCACGAGCTTAGTGACCAGGGAGGCTGTGTGTTGTCACCATCCTGACTCTTGTGTATTTGCATTGTGCTGGCTCCGCTCTGAAGGCTGCTGGGAGTAGAGGAGCCCCCCTGGGTCCCTCATCTTCCACTTCTGTCCTCAGCAGGGGCTGCAGCTTAGCAGACCCCAGAGCTCATCAGGGGAGCCCCAAGACGGGTTGGTCAGGACGATGCCCTGAAGCCTCCCAGAGCACGTCACATGTTGCCCAGCAGAGGTGCCCCCACATTCTGCATCTCTTGGGGCTAAAATGCCTGCCTGTCCCAGAATGACACTTACTTGGCTGGTACCTCTATCTTCACTCCCGAACACTTTATACTGGTATCTTCCACCTGGGCGGCTTTTTTATCTAAAGCAAATGAGATGGGAAGAAAGTCAGTGGACGTGCCCATCCACCCCCGCTCCCATCTGCCTGCCCTTGGCTGGTGCAGCTCTGCGGGTCAGATGCAGTGTCTGCTCTCTGCCCGCTCAGCAGCCGCCCGCACCAGCAAGGGCAATGACTTGTGTACAATGGGATCCGGCTCTCCGGGCTTACATTTGTGGGGTTGGCGGGAAAGCCGGCAATAAAACACACGCAAATTAAATAAATGCCAGAGAATTGGAATTGTGACATAAATGAACAGGGTTGGGATACAGAATGGAGGGGATCAGGCAGGTGCTAGGAACAAGGTGATGTGTGCAGTCTTGATGAAAGCTGAGATATTTATGCAGTCAATGAATTCATGCTGGTATTTGCTTCCAAAAATTGATTATCCTATTTTGATAATTACTAATATTAACTGATGCTGTTTCAAGTTCTTTTTTCTATAATTCTATTTTTTACATTTTTTGAACATTTACATTAGAAATAAGTTATTTATGATGGTGCTATCCTGGAGCTGACTGTGATGAATGAAAGCCAGGGTAAGGACCCAGGGTAGAGTTTTCTATCCTGTGGGAACAGCATGTGTCAAGGCCCTGAGGTAGCACCACCTGACCTTGTTGCAGAAGTAAGATGAAACATGGACGCAACTCTTGGTCCTGGAAGAGTTTGGTTTTTAATCTAAGGACATTGAGTCTGTTGAGGGGTGAGCCATCTCAGCACATGCTTTAGACTTCGAAGAAATAAGACCTACTCTGGACTGCATATGGGTATAAAAGCAAAGAGAGTTCAAGGATGCCATGCAGGTTTTGACCAGATTGACTGGGTGATGGTGATACTATTTACTGACATAGGGAATTTCTGAGGATGGGATAGTGATTTTCCTCCTTTGCATTTGTTTACTGTTATTTTATTTGAGCATGACAGTCACAAGTCTCAAAAGAGCACCCTGAGTTATAGTTGTGGATCCTGCTTATCTGAGTTCCAATTCTTTCCACCCCTGAACTGTGGCCAAGTGGTGAAGGTCCAGCTGCCATTGCAGTCTGACTTACCCCTCCACACACCCTGGTCAGCTCCACAGGGAGCCACTCCTCCATCATGGAGGAACACCCGATGTGTGAGTGTCGCCAGATAACAGGCTTCCATATGTCGTAGAGCTTACTTAGTGCAGCTGTTATATTGCTCCCGTTTTACAGTAGAGAAAATAGAGCAAGAAGAGAACTTTCACACAGTAATGTGTGCCTGTGCCACATCTCAGGACCTGGTCCTAATGCTTGGCCTCCTCTCTCAATCGAAGGTGAATGTACCCTCCTGGGAAAGCTACCAGTGCACCTGGCATGTACTCAGAGCCCAGGACTGCTTCCAGTTCCACCTGGTCAACTCGTGAGATTGGGATCCTTGTCTCTCAGGAAAATAAGAGATGAGGAAAGAGATGAAGACCCTCCTTACAGGGAACAGCCCTGACCCCAGACCCTTTTGTAGCTCTGGGGATGGATAGACCCACCCACGTCCCTCCTTCCACTCTCAGTGCTGTCTCTAACCTCACAGCACCCACAGGGAATGGGCATCGAGTGTTTTGGAGGCATGGTTGCTGATGGAGACAGCGTCTGTGGGAAATTTGTTACTTGTACAAATCAAGGAGGTACTTACCAAAAAATATGGTGTCACTTATCTTAAATCTGCAAAGAACTTTGTTTTTGTTTTTGGTGTTACAAAAACCTCTCCCGAAGACACTTACATCGTAGTTTTCTGCAAGGGCAACATCCAAACGTGTGTGTAAGAAGGGGTGAGCTCTGTTGTCCCCTGATCTCATACTGTGGCAGTGTGCCCCCAAAATGGAGCCCCTAAGGACTCCTGGAGGAGGCAGCTGTTCTGAACCCACACCTGTGTGTCTCCTGAGGCTCACCTGGTGTTTCTGAGGGGCCACTGTGAGGAGGCTGGCGGAGCTCTCGGGCACTCTCACTACAGCTTCTAACCAGCACAGCCCATTCAAGTTTCCACCTGGTCCCAAACCATGAACAAACCCATTGTGGGTTTCCAGTCTTTAAGTCCTGAGGCTCCCTAAGGGGCACAGGCAGTGCTTTCCAGCCTCCACCAGACCGCCATCACAAAGGAGAGTGGAGCAAGACAGTGCAGGCTGCACCACTCTGCCTCTTGCCTGAAGTGAGCATCCTGGTCTGGCTGCTTGTGAAATGATTTGATGTATGGGGTCTGTTTCTCCTCACCACATTTTTGTGTGCCTATGGCAGACTGAGGAGCTGAGGAATAAGGTGGCACCCCGGTGAGACAAGCAAGGAGCAGCTGATCCTGTACCAAAGAGTCCCCCTTCCCTTAGCTGTGAGGCAGATCCCTGAAGATGATTGTTTTTCCCACTCTTACTGACCCTCTGGGGCCTCCTCACTTCCCTACCTAGGGACTCATGGAAAGCTCTTCCTTCTGCTGTGTGGGGAGTGATTTGCTAAGGGACATCTGTCCTACCCCCCTTGATTGGACACTGGGGATCTTCTCCCCTGGAACAAATACCAGGGGACACAGTGACGGCAGCTCTAGGTTTGGCAGCAGGGATTTAGACAAGATGCTCTGAAGGCCTTCTTGCTGTATGTCAAGGTCATTAGCCTCCTCTGGTGTCTCAATCTCATGTCTAGCTAATTCCAGTTCCCTGTGATTGATTTGCCCAGCTGATACAATTATTGGAGGAACCAGTCCTAGAATTGCCAGCACAACCTTGAACTTGGCAGTTTGGCTTTCTCTTGGATCAAGTCTTCCTCCAGCCATCATCAATGTGATGGTTGTCAATTCTGTGCTTTGAAGAAAATAGATTCTAGGGCTGTGGGCAGAAGTGCGCCTGCTGATTAGTTTTGTAGGCCTTCAAGTGTCTTCAAAAACAATGGGATTCCATGTTTGACTATCAATACATTTCCCATGAAATTTCAGATAAAATTCTTTTCTGGAAAATAGAACACCTGACATTGTTGCGTTTGTGGTTTTGCATGTCAGTATGGCTGGGGATGGAGTGACTGTCCTCATGCCTGAGGACAGGACCCATGCCCTGCCTGCCCTCCTCACACCACAGCCAGTCATCCTTGGATTTACCTGGCCCACCTGTCTTGCTGATGTCCCTGTGTGGTCCCTGAGCATACCTGCTGCAGTGTCCCTGTCCTAACAAGGGCCGGAACCACAAGGAGCAGGGGGAGTGCCGAGTTTTTGAAACAGAGAGAGCAGGAACGTCAGCTGAGTGTCCTCTACTAAGAAATCAAACATGCAGTACACTCAGGTGGGCTGATGTCCTGAAGCCTCAGGCCCCTTCCCACACAGAGTAGCTCAGTGCAGCTTTTCTATTCGCTTCTGCCAGGCTGTACCCTCACTGCTCACTCTTCAGCAGGGCCTGCCCACCATGACAGGGCTGCATATTGAGCCTGGAAGGAGCAGTTGGGGTATCTCTCCCCACATCCTCATCCCCACATGCAGTTTGGCACAGCCTCTTCAGGAGAAAATCCACCTCTTGGCCCCCTTTGATTTTTTGTTTTTGTTTTTGTTTTTTTTTTGAATTTATTCTTTTTTTTTTAATATTAAATTTTATTTTTATATTCCCCCATACAATTGCAAACGCCCCATTCTGACCCCAATCCTTCCCCTCCCGCCCCCCACCCCCCAAAAAGTGTCTCTGGTTCATAGTTTTTTGTTGATTTTGATTTTCACTTTCTTATATTCATTTTCCTGGTCCCTTATTTAAGTTTTCTAGATTCCTGCTATGAGTGAGACCATCCGGTATTTTTCTTTTTCCTTTTTTTTTTTTTTTTTATTTTTTTTTTCATTTAAAGTTATTTATTTATTTATTTATTTTTTTTTATTTAATAAATTTTATTGTTATATTCCCCATACAATTGCAGCCCCCCCATTCTGACCCCAATCCCTCCCCTCCCGCCCCCCTAAAAGTGTCTCTGGTTCATAGTTTTTTGTTGATTTTGATTTTCACTTTCTTATAGTTATTCATTTTCCTGGTCCCTTATTTAAGTTTTCTAGATTCCTGCTATGAGTGAGACCATCCGGTATTTTTCTTTTTCTTTTTGGCTTATTTCGCTGAGCATGATCCCTTCCAGCGCCATCCATGTTGCTGCAAATTGCATGTGTTTATCTTTTTTGAATGCTGAGTAATATTCCATGGTATATATGTACCACATCTTCTTTATCCAGTCATCTATTTTTGGGCATTTGGGTTGTTTCCAAAGCTTAGCTATTGTAAACAGTGCTGCTATAAACATAGGGGTGCAGGTGCTCTTTGGAATTGATGTTTCTGTGTCCTTTGGGTAAATACCTAGGAGTGGAATTGCTGGATCATATGGAAGCTCTATGTTTAGTAGGTCCAGAAATCTCCACACAGCTCTCCATAGTGGTTGGACCAGTTTGCACTCCCACCAACAGTGCACAAGAGTTCCTTTTTCTCCACATCCTCGCCAACATTTGTTGTTGCTAGTTTTTTTAGTATGTGCCATTCTCACTGGTGTGAGATGGTATCTCATGGTAGTTTTGATTTGCATTTCCCTGATGACAAGAGATGTTGAACATTTTTTCATATGTCTGTTGGCCATTTGCATTTCCTCTTCAGAGAAGTTTCTTTTTAGCTCTTCTGAGCTTCTGCACAGCAAAAGAGACAATAACAAAAACAAAGAGAAACCCCACCAACTGGGAGAACATTTTTGCACCCAACACTAATGATAAAGGACTGATCACAAAAATCTGCAAAGAGCTGATGAGACTCAGCAACAACAAAGAAAATAATCTTGGCCCCCTTTGAATCTGTTCTCTCCTATTGTGGCTATTCTAATTCTGCTTCACCCCAGGGAAATTCTGTCAAGTGCCCTCAGAGAGGTCAGAAACAGGATGTGCCCAGCGACTGGAACTGTGTCCCGACTTATTAAGTATCTGAATATCAATCAAGGACACCAAGACAATAGGTTTGGCGTTCACATACTTTGAAAGGGTGGACAATCTAATGTTCTATGTGCTCCCATTTATAAAAAAATGCCCTTTGGAAGTGTATGTAGATGGAGATGTAAGCATATAGGATCACCTATTCATGGTAGTTATGTTTGGTAGACTTACAAATGGGACAGAGTGGAGAGCAGCTGCCACCAGGATGCAGGGGACTGAGGTGCAGCTGTGATGGTGTGTGTCTTCACGGGGTCTGCATTATGCAGGTGTGTGTGTGCATCTGTGAGACTCACACATAATATACCTGCAAAGATGTGTGCATTTCAAAAAGACCACTCGGGAAAATGGGTCCCTTGTTTATCATAAGCAAAATGACAAAGTTGGGGGTAGAATAGCCTGATGACTCTAATTTACTTTGGAAACCTTCAAAAATAAGACGGATTTTTGGAGTGAGAGAGAGGGAGCTAGATAGATAAGTGATAATTAGTTAGCTGTTAATTGAGAAATCCAATTAGAGGAGCTCCTTGTAGAATTGCTTCCATTTGCTGTAGGTTTGGAAACGTGCATAATAAAAGATTCAGACAATTAGTTTGAATGAGAAAAGCAAGCCTCACAGTTAAGCAGTAGTCATGGTATTACTACTTGACAAGTGGAGAATGAGAGGAATCTGGGCGGAGCTAGGGGGGGTCAGGTGACCAGGAAAAGTTTGTCAGTTGACCTGAGGGAAAGATCCCAAAGGACTGGTTGACTGAGCCCAGTAAAGCAGGAAAAGGGCTTGCAGGAAGTCTAGCCCCGGGCCCCACCCTGTGTGTCTGCAGGGTGAGAGAAGAGGGCATATCTGCAGGGCTTTCTTGTCCATCTAGGGGTCTCACCAACCCAGCCAGGCTGGGATTAGGGAAATGGTCTTCTCAGCCCCATGGTGCCCTGTGGGAGGGTGGGCTGGAGACAGGACCTAGAGGCAGGGAGGGAGCAGAGGACTCTGCCTGGACTCTGAGGTATCCTGTGGGGTTGAGGAGGCTGAGCCATTGTGCTCAACCCACCTGTGCCCCAGGGCTCCCTGGCCACTATTTGTCTCGTTGACTCCTCCTGTTTTGGGGAGTGTAGGTGTCTGCCTTGAACTTTCCCACAAATGACTGTGACTCTGGGTGGCGGCTTTTGACTAGAGGACGGTTTACAAGGACAGAGCAGGGATTGCTGGGCCAGGCTGGCAGGGGGTGTGAGGAGGGCTCCTGTCACCTTGGGTGGGTACGATTGGTCTCCCCACCTGTCTGTGTGTTCACATGCTGCTCAGACATTCCTGCCTGGTGTCTCCCTGGACATGCCCAGAGAAACCAGGCTGCCAGTTGCTTGCACGGGTGGGGACTTAAAATAAGGAAAGACCCATGTGTGCTGTGGGTGGTGGGGGAAGTGTGTTTCTAACCCAGCCCACTTGAGGCACTGCAGGTTATAGATTCAGAGAAGTCAGGATGAGTCTGGGAGACTCTTCCATCCTGGAAGCTCTGTAGCCCTCCCTGCCTGGGCAAGCATGGGCAGCGGAGCCATGGTCAGTCATGGGAATATGAGCCCCACGACTCTTCCTTAAGTCTGCCTGCTTCTATTCTGAGCTGGTCCCTGCACAGTCCACTGGCCTCCCCTCTCTCACGGAGCAGAGAGTGGGTGTTGATTTTTCTGCCTCTTGGAGAGAGCAGAGGAGCTGGCAGACCAAGGTCCCTTGCTCCCTGGGGCTGGCCACGGGCAACAGAGCTCAGCTGGAGTAGCCTTCTGTCTGACCTGTGTCAGGGTGCTCCAGCCTTCCTGGCAAGTGCACAGAGGCAGAGCCAGCTGTCTGGGTCAGGATGCGGTGGGTTATGCTGTGTGCTGTTCCCGGGAAGGGCGTGCTTACCCGCGGGGCTCAGCTGCCTGCTCCAGGGCTGCGGCAGCACAACCTGCACTCACAGGCCCTTACAGAGAGAGGCCTTGTAGCCTAAGGGAAGTTCCTGGACCTCCTCACTGTAGTGCTGCAGGACCCTCTGGGGGAGCAGGCATCCTTGTCTTGGTCGAGCTCTCAGGAGAGGCCTTCCTATTAACCCTGAAGCTGATGTCAGCTGGGAGTGATTGCGTGGAGGGACATTGGTCACCTTGTGCTCTTATTAGGACACTGGACATTGAACTTTTTCTTCATACACTGAAATCATCAGTTCCTCTTCTTCATTTTGCTGATGGGAGGAATACACTGATGTTTCAACTCTATGTCAGCCCTGTGCTTCTGGGGTGATCTCAAACTGGCTCTGAAAATTGTCAGATGTTCTTCGGTTCCATTGCTACTATTTTGTTTTTTTCCTCATTTTTAATTAAACTTTTGATTTTGTGATAAAAAAGAATTATACAATCTTATTGTGCTAAACACTTCAAGTTTTATATGTCAAACCATTAGGTGATATACCTTCAGCTTACATAAAACTGTATGTCAACTCTAGCTCATGAAAATTGGGAATAAAGAGAATTTACACGTGTGTATTCACATCACACATTTAAACTGCACAATACACAACATCCATCACACATATTCAAGCACAACGTACAACGCATACAAGCACACATGCCTCTGTTTAGAATAGAGACCCAGGTCTTACCTCCCACACAGTGAATGGGAGGTGCCACACTTGTAAGCTCAATGCAGGACTTAGCTGCGAGCTGAAACAGAGAGTGGTTTGGGTCAGGGAAAGTGAAGAGTGGGCATGGTAAGAGCCTCCTCATGCCACCCCCCACACCACCCCTCTCTCACTGAGTCAACGACGTTCTTGAGATCATAGAATCCAGTGTCCACACCAACCACGTGCTTCTCGCTGTCCGCAATTGCCAGGAGCTACAAGAGGAGCAGAAGGCTTGGACCACAGCAGGGGTTAGGGGCCAGCAGGACCCCATCCCAGTGCTCACGCTCAGGCTTCATGCCATGTGAAACTCAGCACCCCATCCTGGCCTCGCCAGTACCCCAACTTTCTGGGCTGTTCCCCAGGTCTGTGAGCTCATACAACACTGTTACTCATTTCTGCATTTGGTCACATGTTGTCCTGATATTTGGGGTGGGTGGGTTAGAAGACCATCCTCTGGGTGACCCTGCCAAAGCTTTCCACAACTAGACTTCTCAGTTAGCTCCTGTTCTGAATTACCTGATTTTTCATGTAGTTGTTGACACCCACAGTGTAAACAGTCCCCCCCAATTGTCGAGTCTTCTGAGCCTAAGACAAAGAACGTGTTAAGTGCAAATCACTAAACATGTGGAGCAAAGGCTGGAAAAGGTGGGCTGGACTCACTTCATACTTGGTAGCCTCAAATGACTCTGGCCAAAGTGTTCCATCAATTAGGGAGACAACCATGGAGTGAACTTTCTCTTCTGTGGGAGAAACAGGGAATGGCCTGGTCAGTAATGTCACCCAGAGAGACCAACTGCAGGTGAGAAGGCCACTCACTGCCCTTTAGTTTCCTCCCCTGGGAGATGCTGGCAGACCCCAGCACCCACATTCCTGATCGCCTAGAGGGTTGTGGAGCAGTAACCTGGATAGAGAAGACACCTTAGCTGACCCACTTTACAGAGCACGAGACTGAGCCTGGTGAGGACTTTCCTTACTGGAGTCTCACTGCTACAGGTGGCAGATCCTGTTTCCTACGGTGAGTCCAGCTAATTCAATGGACAAGTTCATGCCTTTCCCAAGAGCAATGAGGAAGCAGCCTCACCAACAAAAAATATGTCCGACAGGCTCAGAGCAGGCTGGGGCACTACTGCTGGCCCTTAAGGGCCCAGTCAGTGAGAAACCAGGGGAAGAGATGCTTGGGGAGTGAACAGTGAGTCCAGATGTCAGCCTTTCCCCACATTCTCCCCGCTTCCAGCTCTTGTGCCCGGAGCATGCACCCTACAGCCTCAATCCCAGTGGAGATGGTGTGGGCTGACACAGCTGCCAGGCCTGGGGACACACAGGCCAGGAGGAGTGTCAGCCAGAGAGAAATCAATGAAGGGGGAAGGAGGCAGCCCCAGCCATGGGAACACGGCAGAGCGTGGTCGGCAAGGGGACAATCAAGCTCTTTTCTTCCATAAGTGGAGTCTTGCCTGCCTGAGGTACCCTGGCCTTTCTCCCTTTTCCACAAGTTCAATGTAGTTCAGTTGCCTCATACTTAATAAACACCAGGAATGTACACTCAGGACCCCATAAGTCTTAGAATCATCAGGGGGGGGCTGCCCTTCCCCCTCTGCGCACAGACGAGGAGCCTGGAGGACATATTGGGTGGGAAACTTGCACAAGAGTCAGCTCGCAAGTGGGGGCCACCAGACTGCTGTGCCTCTGGCCTGACTGTCCTGGATCCCACAGTCTCGAAGTCAGCAGAGCTTACCTCCAGAGTTTGCTGTGGAGATCTGCTCATTGACCTGCAGAAACAAGAAGGCTTGTTGAGAGGACTCAGTGATATTCTGAGCACTTGCTAAAGCAGGATAAATTCTTAGAGCTCTGGCTGTACCGCTTTAAATCCTTCCTGCATGTTTGTGTCTCCGGTAGGCACTGTGTTCCGCAGTTGGTTGAGACCCTCTTCGATTTCTTTTCTAAAAAAAGTGAAATGGAGTGTTGAGGTAGGAAGAAGGGTGGAGTGTTCTCAAACAGCCCCATCTGTGCTGGCACATTCTGCGCTGGGCAGACCGACCTGGAAGAGGGAGGCCACAGTCAGGAAGGCTGCCATGGCCCTTCAGCCCGGAGTCTTTGAAACTGATCTTGTCTGTACTCATCGCTATATCAGGTTCATCGACCCAGCAGGCTTCATGAAGGGCCTGTCTGACCATCCACAGGCAGAGTGGGGAGCAGTTGTGACTGCGCTAGTGTGAACCTGGAACTTAAATGCCAGGACTGCCAGCTCCTTAAGGGTCCCCAGTGGGGCTCATCACCCTCTACCAGGCAAGGCTGAGTTTGGTAACAGTCCCCCTGGCAATACCCCTGCCCTGTCCCTTCCTCCCTGCCCTGGACCTCCTAGGGTGACTTGGAACCCACAGCCTCCTTCCCTTCTGGACTGGTTCTGAAGGAAGCAGCAAGACTGCTTTGAGTGCTGAGTCCCTACTTCAGAGCTCCTGACAGGGAAGACCTAAGGCCAGGAAAGGGGCCATAAAGCTGTCCATGCAGGCAGGAGAGCAGTGAGCTGCAGATGTCCACGGTTTTGTCCTCTATCAGCTGCTGCTAAGGTAGATAGCAGGTGGGAATGGGACACAAGTGGGGGTGCAGCTCGGATCAGGCTGAGCCAACTGAAGATCTGAGCCGGCACAGTAAGGCTGGAGCGGCAGAGATTGTCTAGAAACACAGGGGCTGCCAGTGTCAGTGCAGGAGTTATCAGAGGGGCTGGGAGTAGATGCTGGGGGTGCAGGGTGGTCATTGAGCTGAAGCCAGCCCCGCCCAGGCAGCAAGCCTGTGGGCTCCTGACTGAAACTCAGGACTCCTCTGCAGAATTCTCCCCGTGGCCTCCGTCTCCCCCCTCCCAGCACCACTATGTCTGCCTTGAGGGGGTGAAGCTGAACTTACTTGTCCGAGGTGAGCTTTAGGACGGTGTGGCCCCTTGTGGAGAAGGTGATGATGGAGACCCGCATGTTCGGGCTGGGGAGGAAGCACGTGTATGTGAGTCATAAACAGAGGTTCAAATGACCCCATGAGCAGCCAGGGAGGGGACACCTGCCTGTCTTCACTTCCCTCTAGCCTGTGACCCCTTCCTGAGTTCCAGAAGTTACCATAAATTTAGTAAAGGATTCTGAGGCCAGCAAATGTGTGGACTCCAGGGAGACTGTCAGGGTGGTGTCCTGCTCTATCCCTAGATCCCAAGCTCTCTCTCTCTCTCTCTCTCTCTCTCACACACACACACACACACACACACACAAGTGCATGATTCATGCCACACACACACTACGTGAAGGTCCCTATTCCTGCCCATGAGTAGCCTTCTTCTACTTAAACTATTTTTGGAACCTCATGGCCCTTCCCTCCTGGTCTATGTTTCCTTCCTCCCTCCCATCTAAGAGACATTATTGTTCCTTTTCCACTCATTCACATTCCTCTGTCCCTTTCCTCCCCATGGCCGCTGTCTTCTGGGTCACAGGCCCCCTTTGTCTGCTAGAGGATTGCTGTCCTCGTCCCTGATGAACTCCATGTAACGGTGGCTCTTTTTCCCACTCATTTTACCCAAAATTATCAGATTTCTTGGAGCACAATCCTCATCACCCACACTCAGCCCAAGTGTCATTTGTAAATTCCTATTGTTCTCCGCAATCCCGACCCCTTGGCTTGGCTGTATGAGCCCTTTGGCCTTGACCCCAAGCTGTCCTGTCCCAGTCTCAATTGTACCCCTTTTTTGAGTTAACCCCTCTCTCCCCTAAACAGATCACTTCCTCCACAGGAAGTCTCCTTGATGCTTCTTGTTTCCCTGTCTTTCCTCATTCCTAACAGTCCTAGTTTAAGTGTCCATATCCTGGGGAAAACCATCCTTGAATTTTCTCTGGGAATTCTTGATTTTCCTTTAAAGTTGCCATGAGGGTCCTTTGCCATTTTCTTTGCAACTATTTAAACAGGTGTTTTTAACAGTGTTACTGATTAGCCTGGTTTCTAATCTGTGACATCCTCTAGTCGGCCAGTATTTCCTACACTGTGGCTTGACACCAAGACTGGTGTCAAGTCTACAGGACCTTTGGAGCCGATGGAAACTGAGTGAACTGCATTTTTGACTGGTTCAGAACTCCACCGGGGACTTTATGCTGCTGATCTAAGTGACACCCATGCCCACTGGGTCTAAGCAGACAGGCACTCAGCCTGGCATTGCAAAAGCCCCACCACATGGAGAAGTCATACTTTTCAAATATTTTGAGGAAATCCTCTACGAAGCCGTATGTAAATATCCAGTTGGTGTCCACACTGCCTGACCTGAAAATGAAAAAAATCAATAGAATACATTGTATTCTTTGTGTTGGCAGAGTTTATCTGAAACCATCCAACAAGCTACTCCCACCCTGTTATGAGAGCACACTGTCAGGAAGGGACCGCACCAGTGGAATTTGTGTGTTTGCAACTGAGGGATTCAAGAATGAGACCCTGTGGAGGAAAAGGAGGATGGTTGGTTATGCACACAGTAGCTCTAGATAAGACATGAAGTAGGACGCATTTCTGAAAAAACCTTCTGCATTCTGTATCTCTGACTCTCCTGGTCCTTCAAGTCCTTGGAGAATAACCATGGCCAGCTCTCTGACTCTTTCTAACCAAGCAGCAAGAAAGCTGTCATATAAGCCTGTTATGAGACACAAAGTCATAATACCTGACAAGATCTCCAAGATTTGCAAGAGCTCTCTCTGAGCTGTGGGGTCAGAGGTGGAGAGGGTGGAAAAGAGGCCTTTAGTTTTATGCAGGAACTTTGTAACAGTGTTTGATTTTAAATTTGTGTTCATGTATTTACTCGATAATTGTTCAAATAAAATTGCAAACAAATACTAGTTTCATGGGGAGACATTAACAAAAAGGCAGGTTTCAAAACTCCAAGCCCTGGCTTCTCAAAACTCCAAGTCCTGGGTTTCCCAGAGAAACATTCAACAAACAAGCGGAGGCTAGAAAGGGAAGCAGAATGTACATAAAGAAAGCCCAATCTGCAAAGGTAGGCAGAAACAGAAGGAAGACAAAAGCTGTGATGTAAATATATCACATTTAGGAAATAATATGTTGTCAGTAGCAAGTTCTTATGTATCAGTAATCAATCCAATTTTAAATATATTGAATTCATCAAGCAAAGATAGCAGTGTGATTAGGTGGACAGATATGGCCAGTTATGGATGTGTTGCCTATGGATATGTATTTACTTCACTTTAAAGACAAACAGATTGAATGTGAAGGGATGAAAGAAGATAGTTCATGCATGGGATATAGAACAATATTGGATAGTCATAATAGACAAGATGAATGTTAAGCCACACATGTTCACATGAGTCAAAGTCACAATGATAATGAGGTCATCACATCCTAAAGATACTAAATGTGCCCCCAACACCTGCGCACATAAGGATAACAGGTCTGAAGGGGAAAAAAATAACATATTTGTAGATAACTTCAATACCTGACTTTTCAACACGGATAAGTCATCCTGAGAGCCTCTAGGCTACTGCCTTCAATTCTGGGATGCTCTTCCTTCCTGGGAGATGGCATATACCTTCCCTGCTCTCCCCCAGGCCTGTCTGAGATTGGCACAGCAGGGAAAGGGCTTTGGAAATAGTCATGTGCTTCCATGAGGTCACCGACAGCTACTATTGAAGAGGGGAAGCTAATTCTCAGCCCAACAGGGGAGCTGAAATGACCAAGGCCGTGTCTCCAAGCCAATGCCCTGTACCCCTTTGCTTCTTCAAGGCCATAAAGGCTCATATAGAGCCCAGCTTTCTCAGGACCACACCCAGAGAGCAAAGTGTTCACAAAATACATAGATTGTTGGGCCTCCCCGGCACAGTGGTTGAGCGCTGGGTTGCTAAACTGCCCATAGACTCTGCAGCGCCGGTTCGATCCCCGGCTGCTCCCCGGCCACCGGAGGAGGGTCCCGCATGATGCACAGACCTCTCCTGCCGCCCGCTGCTCCCCTCAGCAGTGTACTTCGGTCCTTCTGCCTGCTCTGCTCCCTGCTCTGGCTCTGGTGAATTCTCTCACCCTCCCGCACTTCTGACTGTACCCAGTGCTTGTATAAATAAATAAATAAGTAAATAAATAAATAAATAAATAAATAAATAAATAAATCTTAAAAAAAAAAAAAAACAACACATAGATTGTAGAAGAAAAGTAGCAAAAACACATAGACAGCAAAGCAAAGGACTTTCTCTGCACTGATGCTATATAGAAGGCCCAGAGACAACTCAGCAGTCTTTCTGGAGGCCAGTTAAAATGGAGTCATTTGGGCTAGAAACAAAACAAAGCATAAAATGATAAGCAAAAACCCAGGACATTATTAACAAGTGCTGAGAAAGGAGCTCCCAGTACTGCCCCTCAAGTCTCTGGCCTGGTAGGAGATCCACTCACTTGTCCAAGATTAAATAGAGGTCAAGATTGCTTTGGCAGGATTTCTTGTGATCTGCTAGCCTCTCCCTGGACCCGGTGTCCTGGCTGTGGCCCTGGCGGGTGCTCTCCCCATCTAGGTTGGTGTTGCTGGGGAGGTTTCTCCTGGCCCGACTGAAGTAGTGGAAATCTAGCCAGGTCGGGGCTCTGTGCTGGTATGCCCCACTGCTTGCCAGGAGAGGGGGCAGTACCAGCAGAAGGAAAAATGCAACTCTGGGCATCCCGGGCCAGCTGCTTCCCATTTTCTGGGCAGCTCTGAGGCTGCAAGGGACACTAATCTCTGCTCTGGCGACAGAGTAGGACTGATTCTGGGTGGAGGCCCCACTGCCTGCCAGGGTGTCTCCCTGACCCATAGAGACATAATGCCCTGTGTTGTGATGGACAGGGAGGTTGGCATGGCGACCTTGTGTTCGCTCATTGCAGCTCTGCTCACTGTTTTGCTTACTGACATTCCCAGCGGGGAGTCAGGGCATCCTTGATAGGGGTGTGAGAGGAACCTCCATTTGTCCCTTATCCTGAGCCCTCACTGATGGCCATTAAAGTTCTCCAGGAAGCTGAGTCTTTGCAAACTGCCAGAGCAGCTGGGGTGGCTCAGACAAGGACATCACTGTGGCTGAGGGGGTCATGGCTGGGAGACCAGAGTGTTGTTATGGTCATTTGAGTGAAAACTGATGTCTTCTAGGGAGATGGAGGATCTAAAATTGAAGAGAGTGATGCAATTTTGTTTGTTTAGAGGGGATTCCACTTATCCAGCGATGTGAATCAACCACCTCAAACTTAATAAGTCAAGTTAGAACCACTTTACCAAGCTAATAGTTTGCATGGACCAGAAATTGAGAGAGAACTGTACTGCCTTGTTTGCTCCATGGAAATCATTGGAACCCCCTGAACTTTCAATTTTATAATCAGCACCCCATCTCCATTATCCCCAAATCTTCATAACATTTGATTACAATCATATGGATATGTGTTCCCATTGAGGGATGTGACTCTGCAATCCAGACTCCCCCTATAAATGACCAAATCAGTGTCTCTTCTAATTAGGTGTTCAAGCCTTTCATGAAATTTCCCTAAGAGATCTTGACCTCTCTTGTCAAGTGCCTTCTCTGAATGCCTTATCATTTTGCTGCCATTGCTAATGATGTTTAAAAAATATGGTTAAAATGGATTAAAGAACGAGACATAAGACATGAAACCATAAAATATACAGAAGGAAATATAGGTGAAACACTACATGGCACTTCAAAAACATCTTTACAGACACATCACCCAAAGCAGTGACAGTGAAGGCAAAGATAAACAGCTGGGACTACATCAAATTAATGAACTTCTGCACAGCAAAAGAGACAGTAACCAAAACAAAGAGAAACCCCACTGACTGAGAAATTTTTTTTCCTTTTTTTTTAATTTTATATTCCCCATACAATTGCAACCCCGATTTTGACCCCAATCCCTCCTTTCCTACCCCCCAAAGAGTGTCTCTGGTTCATAGTTGTTTGTTCATTTTTTCTTTCTTATAGTTATTCTTTTTCCTGGTCCCTTATTTAGGTTTTCTAGATTCCTGCTATGAGTGAGACCATCTGGTACTTTTTTTTTCTTCTTTCTGGCTTATTTCGCTGAGATGATCCCTTCCAGCTCCATCCATGTTGCTGCAAATTGCATGTGTTTATCTTTTTTGAATGCTGAGTAATATTCCATGGTGTATATGTACCACATCGTCTTGATCCAGTCATCTGTTTTTGGGCATTTGGGTTGTTTCCAAAGCTTAGCTATTGTAAATAGTGCTGCTATACACATAGGGGTGCAGGTGCTCTTTGGAATTGATGTTTCTGTGTCCTTTGGGTAAATACCTAGGAGTGGAATTGCTGGATCATATGGGAGCTCTATGTTTAGTAGGTCCAGAAATCTCCACACAGCTTCTCCACAGTGGTTGGACCAGTTTGCACTCCCACCAACAGTGCAGGAGAGTTCCTTTTTCTCCACAACCTTGCCAACATTTGTTGTTGCTAGTTTTTTTAATATGTGCCATTCTCACTGGTGTAAGATGGTATCTCATGGTAGTTTTGATTTGTATTTCCCTGATTACAAGTGACATTGAATATTTTTCATATGCCTGTTGGCCATTTGCATTTCCTCTTCAGAGAAGTTTCTTTTTAGCTCTTCTGCCCATTTTTCGGCTGGATTATATTCTTTGTTGTTGTTGAGTCTCATCAGCTCTTTGTAGATTTTTGTGATCAGCCCTTTATCATTAGTGTTGTGTGCAAAAATGTTCTCCCAGTCAGTGGGGTTTCTCTTTGTTTTTGTTATTGTCTCTTTTGCTGTGCAGAAGCTCTTTAATTTGATGTAGTCCCAGCTGTTTATCTTTACCTTCACTATCACTGCTTTGGGTGATGCGTCTGTAAAGATGTCTTTGAGGTGCATGTCATGTAGTGTTTTGCCTTTATTTCCTTCTATGTATTTTATGGTTTCAGGTCTTATATCTAGTTCTTTAATCCATTTTGAGTTGGTTTTTGTGCATGGTGTTAGATAGTGGTCAAGCTTCATTCTTTTGCATGTAGCAACCCAGTCTTCCCAGCACCATTTATTGAACAAACTTTCTTTGCTCCAATGCATAGTCTTTGCTCCTTTGTCAAAGATAAGTTGACCATAAATCTGTAGGTTTATTTCTGGATTTTCTATTCAATTCCATTTGTCTGTGTGTCTGTTCTTGTTCCAATACCATGCAGTTTTGATGATTATGGCTTTGTAGTATAGTTTGAAGTCTGGGAGTGTGATGCCTCCATTCCCTTCTTTTTTTTCAGGAGAGCTTTGGCTATTCGGGGTTTTTGTGATTCCATATGAATTTCATCAATAATTGTTCTATTTCTTTGAAGAATGACATTGAAATTTTGACTGGAATAGCATTGAATCTGTATATTGCTTTTGGTAGGATGGCCATTTTAATAATGTTTATTCTTCCAATCCATGAGCAGGGGATGTCTTTCCATTTCTTTGTGTCTTCTTCTATTTCTTTTAACATTGTTTTATAGTTTTCTTTGCATAGGTCCTTTACCTCTTTTGTTAGATTTATTCCCAAGTATTTGATTTTTTTTTGTTTCAATAATAAAAGGGATTTTTTTTATTTCTTCTTCAGATTTATTGTTTGTGTATAGGAAGGCTACTGACTTTTACATGTTGATTTTGTATCCTGCCACTTTACTGAACTGATTGATGAGTTGAATTAGTTTTTCTGTGGAGTTTTTGGGGTTCTCTATGTATATTATCATATCATCTGCAAATAGTTATAGTTTGACTTCTTCTTTTCCTATTTGGAATCCTTGTATGTCTTTTTCTTGTCTTATTGTGCTGGCTAGGACTTTCAGTATTATATTGAAAAGCAGTGGTGAGAGTGGACATCCTTGTCTTGTTCCAGATCTTAGTGGAAATGCTTTCAGCTTTTCACTATTGAGAATGATACTGGCTGTGGGCTTGTCATATATGGCCTTTATGATGTTGAGGTATGCTCCTTGTATCCCAAGAATTTCAAGGGGTTTTATCATGAATGGGTGTTAGACTTAGTCGAAAGCTTTCTTGGCATCTATTGATATTATCATATGATTTTTATATTTCTTTTTGTTGATGTGTTGGATAACGTTGATAGATTTTCGGAAGTTGAACCATCCTTTTGTCCCTGGAATGAATCCTACTTGGTCGTGGTAAATTATCTTATGGATACATTGTTGGATTCTGATAGCTAAAATTTTATTGAGGATTTTTGCATCAGTGTTCATTAGCAAGATTGGCCTGTAGTTTTCTTTTTTTCTGTTGTCCTTGTTTGGTTTTAGTATTAGTGTAATGTTGGCTTCCTAGAATGTTTTTGGCATTATCCCTTCCTTCTCAATTTTTTGGAAGAGTTTGTGAAGGATAGGCACTAATTTGTTACTGAACGTTTGGTAGAATTCATTTGTAAATCCATCAGGTCCTGGGCTTTTGTTTTTGGGGAGGTTTTTGATTACCATTTCAATTTCGCTGCTTGTAATTGGTCTGTTTAGGTGTTCTATTTCTTCTTTATCTAGCTTTGGGTGATTGTAGAGTTGTAGGAATTTGTCCATTTCCTCTAGATTGTTGAACTTGTTTCCATATTCCAGATTGCGTGTGGTTCTTCTACTCCCTACTGTCTGTTTTCTAATTTGCTGTATGCATTGTGACACTGTGTTGCTGGGACTGGCCGGCATCTTGGGTAAACTTCTCTGCTCCCCTCTGGCTCCTCTGGGAGCCATCTGTCAGTTTCAAGCAGTCTTTACTGAAGAAAGGTCCCTGTTCTAAAATGCTGATGCGGGGACACACTCCCCTGTGCACTGGGTCTGCCCCAGCGGTGGGTTCCCATTCCCCCTCTGGGCTCGGACTGCAGACCAGAAGGGGCCTGGCATGGGCGAACTTCCCAGCTCACCTCTGGCTCCTGAGGGAGTCTTCTGCTGGTTTCAGGCAGTCTTTACTGATGAAATATCCCTGTTCTAAAATGGCGATGTGGGACGTACTCCCTGTGCGCCCGGTCTCAGGCACACTCTTCTGCTCCCCTGGTCTGCCCCGGCCGTGGGTGCCCACTCCCCCTCTGGGCTCAGACTGCTGGTCAGAAGGGGCCTGGCATGGGCGAACTTCCCAGCTCACCACTGCGCCTCCGGGAGCCTTCTGCTGGTTTCAAGCAGTCTTTACTGAAGAAAGGTCCCTGTTCTATGGGTTGTTGGTGATTTTTTTTTTCTGGTCGCTAGGTGGCGCCAGAGATCTCCCCTAGTGTCCTTGGGGAGCTGTTTTTTTCACCCCGTGGGAAGGGGAACAGAGTGGGAGTGGTGGGGAAAGCCTCAACGACTTTGGGGTGCTGTGTCTGCCTTGTGCCCCACCATCATGTGGAACCCACACCCCAAATTTCGTGCCCTGGGTCTCAGTTCCAAAGCCCTCAGGTCCAGGATGCGGGCTGTAGCCCAGTTCAGTGTCCGCAGAAATGGCGCCTTTTGCAACCTGCTCCCATGTCCAGGCGCCTGGTTTCTGATTACTCAGTGAGGGACATTCACCTCAGTGAGGGCCCCTGCGCATCTACCCGCAAGCCTAGGTCGCAGGTGTGGGGACCTTGGCAGCCACGATCTGCGTTTGCTTTTCAAGCGCGCTGCTCTTCTGCACAAGCTTACTGGCTGGCTTGGGGCTGTTTGTAGGTCTCCGGGAGTCTTTGTTTTTCTCTAATGGCAACTGGAGCAGTTCGCTCAACTCCGCAGTGAATCCTGCAGGGTTCTCACAGCTCCAGTTCATGGGGTATGGTGGCTGAAATAGTTCCTTTCCACTCACAGTCCTGCTTGATGCGTAGTTTGTTCTTGTTGGTTGTTTTAGTTTTTTTTTTTGTTTTTTCCTCCTTTCTGTTGGTCAGAGAGTGCCGACTTTGTGGGTGGGGGAGGGTAG